TTATATTCATGCATTAATATATTAACATTTTCCATATATTCTCTGATGATGACGAAGCTACGTGAGCTATCGAGAATAGCAGTGGATACTTCAACAATGCGTCAGAGAACTTTGCCTTTGGTTATACATGGTAATCGCACGATTCGTAGTGAAACTTTAATATTTTTTATTTTCTAAAGTGGCTTATTTTTTAATTTGAATTGAGTTGATCGCTTGTATTTGATAGTACGCTACGAACTATCTTCATACTCTTGAAACTTTTTTCATTTGCATCGAGATAACACGTCGCATTGTTCGTGATGTCGCTGTGCCTCGGAAAATCCTCATCCTTTTCGAGTTTTGCGTCCATCATTTTGCCATTAATTCTCATATTCGAGGTATAAAATTCTTTTACAGGATACTTCGGCCAGAATTCTTCTTAGTAACGTAGAAATTCTACATGTGTGTTCAACGAAAGATATCGATTTACTTTGGAAACTTACGTAGTATATTCTTTTATTCTGAAATCAATTGGATTGTTGGATGAAAATAAAATTTTCTAAAGTTAATCCGTTCTTTTCGTTTGGAATGTCATTCGTAAAAACAGAAACAATATGACCTAGCGAAGAGAATGCCATTCTCATGATGTAAAGTCCGCCAAAAGGACCGGCTAATGAGAAAGAAAAAAGCGTAACCTCTTTGAAAGCGCACGTACGGGAAGAACCAAGTAAGGATGCATACATGGTCGATGTTTAAAGTCAAGATCGTAATTGATTACTCATCAAGCGAGGTCAGTGACTGGCCATATTAAAGAAATTTTCGGGCCGCGACCTGTAATCTTCGACTAACGATCACGTGGAAAATGCAATGTAGCGTCCTTGCCGAAGTATCGCCTCGGGGCTCGTACACTGTTGCGCTATGCGCTCCATATATGTTCTTTTCAGAAGGAAAAGAGAGATGAGAGCGACATGGGTACAGGACACGTAACGCGATTACTGCCGCTCGATTTGCTCGGCTGAGCGGTCATTTTTATCAAGTTTAAGGTCTCCTACAGCATCGCCACGTTCTGCTTAACAATTTATAGACGACCGGCGACGCGGCGCTCTTCTCCTTGCTTCTGCGCTTTTTTCTACTAAATATCTCGTTACCGATGTGATCTTTCACTTTGAACGACATTAATCGCTTTGCCGTTAGCTGCCTTTTATGTGTTTTTCTTTCCTGGCTTTTCAACGTTTATTCGCTGTTCGTATCCCTTTTCTTCGTCCCCCCCCCTCCGCCGGTTTTTGCGAAAAGTATGTGCGTTGCAGAAATCTCGAATATTTCCTCGACGAACATGAATTGTTCATGAGAACGGTGCAATGCTTCGACATGATATTTCATTGAGTAGAATACGTTCGATGTCAAACTGACCGTGTCGGCACTTTTTACTCGGATCAGCTCTTTCCGTCGCCGCCAATCAAGAAATTCATGATGAATGTGAAATCGTAATTTTTGAAAGTAAACGAATCGCACGACGCGTGATTTTTATAAAAAAGAAATCAGGTCAAGGTAGTTGTCAAGAATCAATCTTTCCTCACGCGCAAAGGAGCAGTTTCATCCAGCCGCCAGTGTAATTTCGAAACATTTGCATTTTTCATCGGCAATCATATCGAAGAATACGTTTATAGTACGGTACAACAACAGAGCAGCAGAATGCAGTCGAGTGTCTTTATCCCGCCCGTGAAATATTCACTCTTTCAACTTCGTACAATCAGGCAAGTATAATCTCAGCGAGCGCGCATTCATCATTAGAGAAGTTGCGAAGTTTTTGCTCGACGACAGTCGCAAAGTTCTTAGCTCTCGTGCGCGCGCGAGATAGAGAGAGCGTAAATTGTGTCTTGCTCGCTCGAAAGTTGCCGCGCGTGGAACATCGCGGCACTCGCGTATGCGGGGTATACACGGGCGATTTAACGAAGCTCGTCGTTACCACCGCAACGCAATTAAATCGTTCTCTCGCTCTCTGCCTCGTGGTCCTTGCAAAGTCATATAGCGCAGAGAACAATGACGCGGTTTATACAAACACGGACGTACGTTAGCGTGATCGTTGACACTGCGCATACGCCGAGCAGGTTTTTTTTTTGTTCAAGTCTTGCATGCCATGAAATTGACACGCCTGTTTGGTTTTTATTTGCTCGCTGCACGGCGGTCATCGAAAGCGTGCAATTTTAACTGAAAACAGCACGAAATTACTTTCGTCCCGCGTATCTCATACTAGTGCGCCGCGTACTCGTCGATGATCATTGTGTCAAGAAAAAATTAGCGAGGAACAATCTGCAAAATAAGAATTACGCAAGAGATAAGCAATTTACGGGTTTATTTTGAATTCCATAGCATATGTTGCTGAATACAAACTCTATCGAGACATTGGCTCTCTTTCCTTCTTTTCACACGTCGAATGAAGCGCTGATCACGACACTTAATTTCCACGTGACATCGCACTGAAAAAAGCGAAAAGAGCATAATAGGGCACACGCTGCTCGTTCATCAGCGAGACATCGAAATGAAAGGAGCTTATGCCTCTGCTGTCGTGATTACGTAGCTCCCAGTCCTCTCTCTCTCTCTCTCTCTCTCTCTCTCTCTCTCTCTCAAAGCCTCGCGGGAAGAAAATTAAAAATGAAAAAGAGATCGCCCGCGGGAGGTCGTGGAAAATCGATGGGAAATCGGCGGACGCTACAATGGCACATGCGCGAGTACGCGAGGAAACGGAAAAAAAAAAACAATTGGGTTAAGGCAGGTACGTAGTGCGCCTGACTGCGCAGTGCGTTCTCTGCGCGGCTTCCCGCTTCTACCGCTGCGCCGCGCGCTCGCTATATTTGGCCTGCTCGGGCGCGCGCTAAAGAGGGAAGCTCGCCGCTACATACGTGTGAAGCTGCCAAGACTCTCGTGCGTGGGACGAAATCAATAAAGCACGCACACCTCGCCGTTCGGCCTTTCTCTCTCTCTCTCTCTCATCTCGTCCCATGCAAACCGACATGTGCGTCGGGCGCGCGTGAGCTTCGGTCTGCCGGTCAGCGGCCGGAAATTAGTACATCCCTGGATTTATGAGATTTTTGCTCTTCCTCCTTGGCTACTGCCGCCAATGCTTTTTTTTTATCGCTGCCGCTCGCTGCTAATGAACGACAGTGCTCTCGGCTTACCGTATTCGCCGCGTGATCGGAGTCAGCGCAAACGCTCGAGAGCTCTGGGTTTTTCTCCGTCGATCACCGTCCTCGCCTTCTCGCCGTCCCTTTGCGTGGCGTCGACGCAGCTTAATTGCATATTCCCTGCGCGCTCTCGAGCTGCTGTTCGCTCTTGCGTTTACGTATTCCCGGCGCCTTACTCGTTCGCTGACTCATCGATGAGACGGATTGCCTCGCGAAAGCATTGATTTGAGCGCGCAACCAGAATCAACTGTTGCAAAACCACGAGGTTAATAAAACGTCATCGCGGAATTCAGCGCATTCTCCGAAGCTTGATTAAAAGGAAAAAAACGCCGTCGCCGCGGAATGCGCTACGCTGCTCTGAAACGTATAGCGAGCAGCAAGACTGCGTATAAGAGCAATATAAACAATCTGTCGACTCGGTTATCTACGCGAAGCCTCATCAAAGAAACCAAGTTTGACCAAGCCAAAGACACAACGGAATTGGTTTATTCGTTTTCTTACTGTCCGCGGCGGTCAGTCGATGTTGAAGTATTGCCGTGACGGAGACGTTGGGTAGGAACAAAGTTTTAGCACAAATTCTATTTGGCCATAATTGCCTGAAACAGACGCGCACAGTTTGCCAACGATTGGCATCAGCTTTTGACGTCTAGCTACGCTTCACGTAATCGACCACAGGCTCGTTGCCAAGAATGGGGTAATCGATGCTCCTCGATACTTAATCAATTCACGCGGAAAATCGTCCGACAAAAGTCGCGTTAGTTTGCCGCAAGACGAGCCGAACTCGTCTAATGAGTTGTATGTTGCAAGCGGGTATTCCACGGAGAAAGAGGATTCGAGTGGCTTCGAAAGTGGGATTCGATCTTCAATTTCGCGAGATTGCTCGGCCCTCTCTCCCAAACTCAAGATCGAACGTCTCTTTCTCCTCTAGCGAGCTTTCACCTCCGCCTACACGCGGGCCCACGTGAAATTACCCCGGAGCACAACTGCTGAGTCGCCGCTATCCTTTGATTTGCTTGTTCCTTTTTGATTTTATAAGCTCGACGAATGCATTACACTCTCGTTACAAATTACTTTTGACTGTGCACGCGGAAGACGCTAGGACAACAAATTACCAATTTTGCTCTGCAATTTTCGACCAACTAGTCTGCTACTCTCCCATTTCGTTGAAAACAAAAAGCCAGCACAGCAACATAAACGAGATAAGAAAAGCATTCCTTTAGAGAGAAAGGGGGAGCCGAGAAAGCTAAGTTACAAGCTACCTTTAACCGCAGGAGATTATTCATTAGCGAGATAGCCTCCTGTAATCATGCCGGACGCAGACACCGTCAGCATGAAAAAAGGTAAGAGATCGAGGTCCGCAGGATTGGGAGGAACGCAGCCACAACTCGTGCGCTTGCAAAGCATTATCAAATCCTTCGGCTTAGTAGCTAGGCTTTAGTTTGACGAGCGTCCGTGCATATTGCAGAAGGGGCCGCCCAGCCGCGACCAGCTAGTGCTTATGTCGAAACAAAAGATCTATGGCGCATATAATTTTTTTTCCCCGCGTGCGCGCAATGCGAGGGCAGCCCCAACAAACGGCAAAACACCGAATGCAAATGAACTTGCGGGGAAGCAAGAAGAACGAGCGGCCCTGCGAGGGAGGAACTTCAGCCAAGCGAGCACGTTGCCGCTGAGTAAATGAAATTGGCCTTCCGGCCCACACCTCGGGGAAAGCGCCAAACTTTGCACCGGCGTGACTGATCGCGCTATTCGCGACGTCGACGGCGCACCAGTGGCGTCGACGAGAAATGCAAGGAGACGACAGACGTCTCGCAATTATATGTTTTCTGTCCGCTGCAGGCTCGAGCAGTAATATCGAGTAGAAGCGAAGTATCCGAAGATGCGTAAATCATTGCGATGGGAGCGGCAGCAGCAGCACCAGCAGCAGCAGCAGCAGCAGCAGCGACGGCAGCAGCAGCAGCGGCGGCGCCAACGGCAACGGCAGCCCGACAAAGCGGAAGCAGAGACGATGCCGAGGACGAGACAATAAAGCGCGCTCGACGGTAAATGATTTACTTTTATTCCCAGCGTGCCACCTGACGCGGAAAATCTTGGCCCTTTTATATCGTTCTCAACCCGACCTTCGCCTATTATCCTGCAATTTTCCTTGCGATAACAAAAAGTACACGCGCGCGACAGGGGATTGCATATGTGTGGGCATATCTCGGGAACTTTTGCTTTCGGTGATGACACGCATACGTTCAATCCTGAACGATAATAAATACTACATTTCAAGCTAATTTTCCATGTTTGACCCATTGTCAATTAGTTGTTACACCGATACCTCTCTAAAACAATCAAGTTAAATTAGATCATACTACTAAAGAAGAGTCTTAAGAAAAAAATTAACGACACATTTCTACAATCCGTCTTATTTTATCCTATAAATCTTGAAATGTCAAGCAAAATGTTCGTGGAATAGGCAATTTATGAAAGTTGTGATGCTGCATATTTCATTAACGAGAAATCAAACGATAAATGAAAAGGTGTAAACAAACTTTATGATCATAATCTACCGAGCTTGAGAATTGAGTTTCAATAATTTTGTCAGATATTTAAAGGTCTACAGGATAAAATAAAGTCGTTGCTAAGGCAATGTCATACATTCTTTTTTTCCACAACGTCGAAGACCGAAAGTTTCTGAAATTTGTCAATTTATGAGGAGATTGTATACTTACGACAGAGTGTGCGTGTTGAGTTTAGCAAACCGCGTTTGGTGGTTATCGACGTACGAAGCGCGTAATTTTGGCCTTTAAGAGGTTCTCGAATGAGATGACACTGCGCGTAATTTACTATATAATATATGCGCGTAATTCCCTTTGACGTTGCCACAAAACCGCTCTGCTCCTAAATTTGCCTAGTCTATTCGATATCTCTAACGGTTTCGCGATTACGAAGTGTTTTAGGCTCTGTTTTAACACAGATCCTCGACGAAGTTTATGCATGTCCTGTGCCTGACCCTACTCGATGTACTCTACTTGTAACGATTTATCTGCACTCGACCATTCGTGGATTGCAAGCAATTACTGAGCTTGAAGAAAACGAAATCGCGAACGCGCGCGGAAAGATGATTCGCCGGAACGCCGCTGAATTTCAATTTGGAGATGAATCTTATCCTCATTAAGATGTCGCCTTGATGCTTCGTTAGGAAAAACTAGGGTAATGGTTCGCTCAAACGTACCGTGGAGCACACGTCGTCTGCTTTGGTATTTTTATAAGCCGACGTCGTACGTGAAATTAAACGCAAGCGATGTCGTCGCGGAGGTAAGACAATTATCGTTCGACAAGCAAGATTGCTAATACATCGGCTAAGTGCACGACTAAGCCCATCCGTAGAGCTTCCGCGGCATGCGCTCCACGACAGATATCAATCCAAGCCGAACTAACTCCGCTTAATAGCCCGTCGAATCGGACAATCCTCTGCTTAGATATTCCCTTTATCGCAACCAAATGGACACCATGGGCAAGATCTGAGCCGTGGTCACCTTTGATTTGGCAGAACTCAAGTTAGCAAGTGGCGGGAGTAGGAGGTCGCGCGGAAGCGACGCTGCAGTCGAGGATGCGGGAGCAGTGCCGATAAGCCGGCGAGCCGCCGACAGACCGACAGTCGCAGGGCAGGTACTCAGGCGCAGATAGGACGCGGAGAGGCCTCGCAGAGATGCTAGTGGACGAGTGCGGAGCGTGGAGCGGCGGCGGCAGTCTGCGCGGCGGTTGGAACACGCCACTGGGCTGCCGCGCTGCCTCGAGCATGAGCTTCGGCGGCAGCGTGCCTTCCCTACACCACACCGGCTCGATAAGGTCGCTGCGCTCGCAGCACTCCACGCAGGTATTATGCGCCGCCACGCGTTTGTTCGCTCGACGACGATAACGCGCCGCCAAGCCCCCGTGTATTATAGTTGGAAGCGAGGCCGAGGCATAATAGCGGGCCGATAGATAGCGCGCCGTTTCTGCTGCCTCCGTGGCTCGACGGCGAATGCCGCTGCACTCCGGCTGCGCTGCCGAGTCTCCGACATTGTCCCGCGGCTTGCCGGGCCTGCGTTTCACGCGTGGAGCCGACGCCTCGTGGCTTTCGGCGGACAGAAGCTAATAACGCCTCGCGGAAATTCGGCGCGGAGAGAGCAGAATTAAAATGAAGAATATTGGAAATCCAGCTCGTATCCCTCGCGTACGTATAGCCGAAGCAATCGAGCTGTTTATCCAGCTATGCCTCTGTGGGATACGGCTACGCGCGCGCGCGCAAGAGCCTCGCAGGAATCGTCTCTCGGTGCCAATATCTGCGCCGCGCCCCGTCCACATACCAGCAACGGACTCGGCATCCTCCTGCGGGCATGCACCCAGACGCGCACGCGGACGTATGAAAAAATGGGGGCTCTCCGCTCTGTGTGCAACTTGTCCTAGGAGGGGGACGCGCTTTCAATTTTGGCGCGACATATTGCGCTCGATCGCGACAAACAAACGCGCAGGGCAGGGAAGATCGCTGGCCGCCTTGAATCCAATTACATGGGAGCTCCGAGGTAACGCGTCGTACGTAAGCGCGTCCGAATCAACACGTTCGCTAATTGGCTCTGCCGCTCGCTGGCATTACCGGCTTGCTATGCAAATCCGATCGAACAACTCTCTCTTATGCGCCTTCTCTCGAGCATCTTCGTGCATGTATAAAGCGCGGTAATCGCGACCGAGAGCGAGAGAGGCTTCGGCGCGCGCGACGACGAAATTGATAACGTCGGGAGTCCTGCTAGGGAGCTACAATAGGCCTCCCAGCTGTCCCTTACAATTCGATTTTTCAACAACAGTGCACGCGGACTCGCGTCTGTATAATGAAAATTCATCTGCTCGATCGAATGTTTCAGAGAAATCTGTCAATTACTCGATGGCTGTTGCCAATTGCCAATGCATACTCCGAAAGTAATATCTGCGCTTTTTTTCAATACTCTGTTCTGACTCATCTCGCGTTATGTTGAAAGTCCTTTGCGTTGCAAATGAAATTCCACCCCCCAACAGATCGAATTTCCATGAAAGCCCGCTCGGCTTTTAGAGCTGCGTCGCTGATTACGTACCGCAAAAGAAACATTAATAGCCGTGCGGCAATGTACAGCTGCAGCCGAACACAAGCAAATATGAACAACTGTATGACACGAAACGCACGTGCCGCATGCAGCCAAGCGAGACGCCAATGCGATGCGTGCGCTGCTTGTATCCAGGCGCGCAGACGAGCACGCCGATCATGGGTTGTCCAGCACTGTTGGTAGCGCAACAGCAGCAGCAGCAGCAGCAGCACCACCACCACCACCATCATCATCTGCAGCAGCAGCAGCAGCAGTCGCATCAGTATCAGTACACGCCGAGCCACTGCATGGACGCGGGCAATGGCTCGGCTTGCGTGCCGCCGCAGTCAGCTGCCAGCGCTCACCACCGCCATGCCTCGTCGTCCTATCACGGCGGTGAGTCTTAGACGCGCAGCCGCGCTACGACGCTATGGTTCCTTTGTCCCGGCTGTTGCTCGCTGTTGCCGATTCGCGTGCGGGACGGCTCTAGAGATACGACGCAATCGATGCGCGCCGATGAATTTATTGGAAAGTCGGCCGATGACGTCGATGCGTCATTGAACGCGGCCTCGATATCTCGATATAACTCGATCCGATTAATTGACGTTGCGAGTGATCGACTGTTTGTCCGCTGCAGCCGTTACACTCGTAAAATTCGCTTTGACGAGCTCGAGATGAAAAGCCAGTATGGGAGCGGCGGGCGAAAAAGAAGCGCGCGACGCGTCATTTGTCCTTAACTCGGCGAGGCGCAGCGAGCTCTCTGAGCGCCCCGAGCGCGGACAATCGACTCGAGTTGCGGCTCAAACAAAAGCTCGAGCGCGCGATCAATGAAAGATTAACCGAGCGAGGCTCGCCGGCGCGCGCCTCTCTCTCGGCAAAGTTAAAGGCCGCCGAGCGTATAAATTAACGAACGACGCGTGCATGCGCCGCGCGTTCAATTAACGAGCGAGCGCGAAGAGCCGCGTTCAGCGGATTCCAACGAGTCTCCGTTGTCGTCGGTGCGCTCGCGCGCGCCGAGCTGGTCGCAGTCCGCGTCCGCGGTGGCGAACCTCAAAGCAACTTTCCGCGAGCGACTCGCGACGGCTTCGTCGTCTTTGCCGTCCAAGCATCAGAGAACTGCTCGCCGCTAAGCGAGATTGACTTTGGGGCTCGCGGCCCCGAGAAAAATCCGGGAAAGCACGCGAGGCTTCAGTCATCTTAACGATCCTTTTCTCGGCTCGACCGCCATTTTCAGCTGTGCCCGTTATTTTGCTCGATGATTATTGCGTGCGCCGCGCGCGCGATTTTGCGGCACAGTACCTTGAGCTTGTTTTATCCGCCCTTTTCTTACGCGCGACGAACGAGATGTACAACTTTAATTGGACGAAACCATTCTTTTCTTTTCCTTTCCGTTTTTTATTGCGGACGCTTGTTTCGTTTGAAACATTCATCTGTGGATGAATTTAATCAATTATCCATCGTGAATCGAGTATACAACAGCTATGATCAATTCTTCGCAAGCAACGACTGCTAGTTGAAACGGTTATTGACTCATACATGGCATTCTTCGAAATACAGAAAAATCGGACTAGCAGACGATCGTGAAACATTCGAATCGTTAATTATTTAAAAATAGGTGTTTAAGAAAAATGAAGAATGTCCATCAAATCTCATTAATTGTTACAATAATCTTCATTTTGGATATGAAGACAATGCCTGCGTTTCTTAAAGCATCACAAAAGTGCGACAGTACAACAAAGCTTCATAATTACTTGGAACAAAGATCATTTATTCACATCGAATACGCTTTTGTCTACACTTTGTCGCTATTGTGTGATTCGACAAAAGCCTTACTCCAATCATTATTTTCTCTTTTTTCACTGATTCCTCACGCGTAACAATAGGTGGCGGCTTCAGTCACATAAATAACGACGAGACACAATTAATAAAGCATTCGCGTGTAACGAACGCGGGCAACATGCCAAATACCGTGCAGAATATTAGGCGTAGGTGTGACATCGCGCACACGCACACAAAACTCAACGACGTCGGAGCATCGCGCGGCAATAGCTCAAAAAACTCTATTTCCCAATAGCGCCAGGGCTGTCTTGCTGTTGGCGAGACGCTCGTATAATCATCTCCGCGGGGCGAAGGAGAAGAAAAACGAAAAGCAACCAACGGCCCGAGCCTCGTTATGCGAAGCGCGCGCACTCTCGCTTTCTCTCTCGCCCGCACGTCAAGTCATTTCCACCAGCGCGACGCACGCGTGCACGCACATAAGTTGCGCGCTCCGTTTATACACACACGGCAAGTTTATGTACAAGTCGAGCGCGCGTGGCTAAAAAAAAATATACTTGGATATATTATTGCGCGAGGAAGAAATGTCACCGCCGCACACAATATACTGGCGAATGCGAGATCGTTCGTTATTCCTTTTATTTTTTACGGAGATTTCATCGCGAGCAGAGGTAAAAGTGGAATACCCACGCGTGTTAATTTTGCAGAGTTATGCTGATTGCTTGTGAGCGTTAGTTTTTGTCCGACAATTGCTTTCGATTAGACAGTAAGAAACCGTGGACGTGTAGCGTAATTTCGGCAACACGCGAGATTCAAGTTGAATTTCACGTTTGAAGTGACACTACTCAAAGTGCTGATCGAAGGCAACGATACAGTCTTCCGAGAATGGACGTAGATGTGGAAGCATCGCGCGCGAAGGAAATACGGGCGCAGCCATTGAAACCTACGGCAAGCAGGGAGCGCGGCGAGGAGCTACTTTATTAAAATAAAAGCGTCGACGACGTGGAAATCGCTCCAGAAACGCCCCCGAGCGCGAATGCAAACGAGGTGGTGACATGATTTCCATAGCAGGCAGCGCGCACATCCGTCCATATTTTTTCCCCCCTGCTCGCGCGCTCGTCGAGCGATACTACGTGTGTGCTCTCTCTTCGCAGATCCACGAGTGCGCTGTACCGACCTGGAGGATTCAGCAATAGGCAACGGCAACTGGCTCCTCGGCGATCTGCGAAGCTTGCATCGATGCGTGCCAGCACTTAGGCGAACAGGTGAATTATTCAGCGACCATTTCGTGCGGCCTTGCTGATTTTCTTCTCTCTCTCTCTCTCTCTCTCTCTCTCTCTCTCTCTCTCTCGCGAGGAACACGCGTATTGGGAATACCGATGAGCTCCAGCGTGACGCCAGCGGGGCAATTTTTGTGCTAGGTTTCCCGACTTTCTTTCTTTTGTCACGCACTGGCTATATTGATTGCTCTCCTCCTCCGTGAAGAGCTTTCTCTGTCGATGCACATACTAAAAATTTAACGAAATTCCATTAAGTTTCAAATGCTTGGATTTCAAGCTCAATTGCATATTGCAATTTTTAGCGTACTTGCTTGTATTTACCGGGAATTTCAACATTTTTTTATTACGAAATATTATTAATAAATAATCGTGAAATTTTTATAATTTACGGTATCTACATATTTTTGGTTAATAACTGACAGGCTCTCGCGTGAATTATTGATTTTTAATTCGCTGTCGGGAATAATTTATGCATAAAATTACAATAAATAAAAATCATCAATTAGTAGCATTTGCTAGTTATTTACAATTTATAACCATTTATAAATGTCAGATTTTCAACATATATAACAATTATAAAGAGTTATTTTTACCAATTACCTATTGAAATAAAAAAATTGGTAACTATTATTTGTAGTTACTTGTAATTATTTTCCAATATCGGACACGAAAAAAGTACTTATAAACGAAAAAAATTAAATGATAATAACAATATATAAATGTCTAAAACAATTCTTAATTATCACTAACTTTTTATTACAGTTGTAAACCATTATTCACATTTATGAAATTGATTTAAAAACAGTTCATAACTGTTATTAATAGCAAATTTTTTTATAATAAAAAGGTGCATTTCCGGAATTGTCTATAACTGTTAATAACTATATAATTATTACTAACAGAAAAAAAATGTTAATGACTGCTATACGTGTCTAAAATCTGACGTTTATTAACTATTTTGAACTGCAAATAAATGCGTAAAATTATTTCCAACAGGAATATCAGGGCACGTTGAATTTTAATCATTCGCTAAATATAATTTATTATTTTTAATAATCGAACAGCAGAGAATGTTTCGATGTACTTAATATCTGACAGAAACACATCATCGTCAAAACAATAGTTCTGCGCTGTGCATCAGATTTTTTCGCAGACGTCTGCAAGATCCGAGATAATAAATTTTAGATAATCAAACGTTTTCCGTTTGTGTTTTGTCTCGCACCGTACTGAATAATCTATTATTTCGTTAAAACATCGAAGAGTCGACTATTCACTTTACTGCTACGTCGTCGAAAATAAGATTAAAAGAGAAAAATATTCAATAACGCAATCCACTTTAACACGTCGCCTCTTCTGCACGATATAGAGAGGTAGCAAAGAGCGCGATTATAATTACGAGCAGAGCCTCGAGGAGCGTATGCAAGCTAAACGAGCAAAAAACTAACCTCGTAAGCGGGCGTAAAAGATTGACGAGAGAGGTGGCAAAGAGAAACTAAAGAAAAAAGTTGGATTAGCGCCGGGACATTTGAACCGAGTTAATTAATCTATATGTATGCGAATTGGCACGCAGGGATCGACGTGTCTGGTATACGGATGCACTTCTATCCTGAAGGTGGCTGGGGCTGGTTAGTTTGCGCAGCAGGCTTTCTGGCGATGCTCCTCACTAGCGGCATGCAACTCGCCTTTGGACAGCTGCACATTCACGCGGCCAAACACCTCGTCCAATCAAGCCTAATGGATATCGGTGAGTACTCTCGCCTGCTCCTTTGTCCGAAGCGTTCTCGTGCTATTCCCCGAACCACAGCTTACGTCTGAGAGTACTCAGCGCGCGGAGTTTTCAGAGCTAACGCTGATCGACCGAGTGGATGATCATTGATTTAATGAGGACACTGTGCGTCGTGTCGCTCGATTTACTCCACGTTTTTTTTTGCTGTCGCGACGGTCAAAAACCCACGCCGCGACATTGCTTTTCATTGGAAGCTGTCGAGTCGATTATTTCGGAAAGCAGTCGGGGCAGCGACTACCAGATTTGAAAAGCGGAAGTATTAACTATTGACGGACGCTCCTCCCCCCCCCCCCCCCCCCCCGCCGCGCCATTCTTTCCATCGCGCGTTAAAGAATGAAAAAGTGACAAACAATGAGCATTCGGCATCGCGAGTTTCACGTGAAAAGTGATCATTTTGTGGACGAGCCACTGTTGTACGTTGAATAAACTTGATGAAACTTGTTTCATTGCGCATAGTATCGTTGGACAGCAAACGAACAAATTAATTTGAAATTTGAATCCGACGCGACGTGCAGTGCGCAACGATTCTCTTTGCATGCCGAAACAGGGATAAAAGCGAATTGGAAAGCCGTTGAAACTGCCAGCGATTTATGCGCAAAAGTCAAAGAGATTATGTAGCGGGCGTTTTGATTCGCAATGTCGAAACGCCAGAGAGATCATACAGATTAGCATCGAACCAATAGCTGCTACTTGGAGAGCACTGATATTCTCGTTTATCGATTTTTTTTTGTTCGATTATAAGATGGCCTTCCGTTGGTGCGCCTGCGTTGCGTATGACTACGATGTTTGGACGTCCCCGCAGCTGAGACTGGCTGTGGCAGGTTGCCCTTTTTATTTTACACCGTATCGACATTTTTAAGCTTTTCTCTCGACGACAATTCATCACTTTCGAAGTTGCCTCGCGAACGGCTTTTCGCGCACGGTTATACCGCGAGTAAATAAACAAATTGATGCGGTTGCTAGCCTTATAATAGACGATGTTCAACGAACGCCGTACGCGACAATATCTAGTTTATTCTCGTTCCTCGGTCAGTTATCGTCGGGGAATAACTTGACATTCATTATCGATTTACTTCCCTCAACATCGCCTTGCCTCGATTTTCTCTCTTGCTTGCAGGTTAACCAGTCGATTAAAAATACCCGACATTATTAATACATTAAACTCCGCCTTTTGTATTTAACTTCATCGATGCGAAGGTTAAACCGCGCAGAGCATATGGGTAGAGTTCGAGACAATCTGAAAATCCGATCAGCCCAATTGGCCAGCTCTTCGAAGAGTAAAAAGGAGAAGGCGTTGAACGCGATTGAAGCGCAGGTAAAGGCGCGAAGTGCGCTCTACCGTATGAAAAATAAATTCCAAGGCAATCGAATCGAGAGGGAGAGAGAGAGAGAGAGAGAGAGAGAGAGAGAGAGAGAGAGAGAGAGAACAAGGGAAAAAAGCTGCCGCGCGCACAGCTTTTCGACGTCGTCGTTGCTCCATTTACCTCGTGAATCGAAAATCAGATTGCCGAGGAGCTGTTGCGTCTTCCTCGTCACCTTTAATAGTTGTTACTCTTTGACTTTCAGCTTCCCTTTATAATCCATTCAAGTAAGCTGATTAGTTAACGACGCGAGGGTGTTGCCGACCGTTTGTTAATAACGCGCCTGTCGCTTTTTCAAATTCGTTATTTTTAACGAACTCGTTAATTTTATTTAATTATTTATTTATTTAATTGACCGAAAACAATACATTGATCAGTTGCCTACATGCAACTGTACAAACCGCCAAAGCACAGTAGCCTATCCTTCCTTGTTCAGAGGATATAGGTACAAAATTGTGTGTGTGTGTGTGTGTGTGTGCGTACGTGATTACTCGTGAGTAATTAATTTGAAATGCTAACAGGTATGAATATTTGTTTTTATTCCTGGAATTGAACTGATGGATGTTTTCCAACTACTAACGAGTGACGGCGAAGAGAAGCCAAATAAACGAAATGAAATCATAATCAGAGCAATTTACATATTCGTAACACATACATTTCCGTTTTGCAGTAATTTTGGAGATTATATAAAAATTATTAGGGTTTGAAAGGAAAACAAGTGATGTAAGCTTTCTTTAATAAAAAAAACAATATCCGTGGAAAAGCGATGAGCTCGGCAACAATCAAACGTCAGAATGGAGTATTGTCACGCGAGCGATATATAAGGGTTTACTTTGTCTCGCTTTAAAGCAACTTTATCCAATCTCTTAGACAGCTGCTACCTCAAACGACTCTCTTTTCTTCTCGTCTATCGGTTGGTTTCCCCTCCTTTCCTCTTATTTCGTTACACGCCGGCATTCCGTTATTCTCTCGCACAATCGACGTTGCTGCTGGCAATCGGAATTTGTTCTATCGATGACGGTTCATTGACGAGCCCGAATATTCTGTTTGTCGATCGATATCGACTTTCATCATAATGGAAATGCCCGTGGTACAGGAATCGCTTCTGCGCAAAAACGGCCCTTTTCCGTGATTCCCGTGGAGTCTTTTCTATGCGGAGGGAAGTAGCAGTCGCGTATATACATTCGAAAAGTAGAAAAAAGCCACGGAGGTGAGTAGCGTTTTCCCGACGGCGTATAAAAGAGCGACGGATCTGCGGCGAATCCTCGGCATAAGATGGATCGCGCGCGCGGCTCGCATACTGCTAGCCGCGACAACTTGCAGAGAGAGAGCGAGAGCGTGAAGGCGAGAGCGTCGATAAAAATAAAGCTTGTATGTATGAAAAAGTCTCGTGGGGGTTCACGGTCAGCTCATTCATCCGCGCACGTGTCGATCGACTTGAACTCTGGCGGCTCAATCAGCCATGACGATGTCTCCTCGACTTTTCTCTCGCGTTCAGCGAGGAGCGGCACGTTGTCGAGGGGTGGCGTTTGCATAGACGCGCGTGTCGACATCTCTTTTATCTTTGAGGCTCCATTGCTACTTTTAATCGAATCTCTCTTCCTTTCCTCCGCGCTAGAGGTCATTTCGCTTTTTACTACTTTGGGAAGTGGGTCTATTTAACAACGAAAGCTCGATTCATCTCTAATCTACTTTGCCAGGCCGATCAAACGTCTATTACAAAGTTAACGTATGGCTTAGCGACTTTACCAAGAGCTTACTACACGCTCGCTATGTTAATTGTGTATACACGCGCGCGTATGAGGCAATCGCAGAATAATTACACGCCTAGGAGTCGAGTATTTTTCAGTCGCGCAGTAAGACGATTAAATACTTCGCAATCCGGGAATTCCGGCAATATGGTAATTTTCTAAATTTTAAGTTGGATGAAGTTAAATTAAGCACGAAAGGTCAGATGGATTTCCTCTAGGTTAATTTCCAGGCAAATATTCTCGAAGGATTTAGAGGAGCATTTTCATTTGCCTCCGAATTGAATACAGAGAAAAAAAGTTGGCGAATATTTCAACATTACATCTAAACTTTTCTCGTTGCCAAGCTAAAAGCTCGGAACTTGAGTCATTTGTTTTTTCACAGAAATTTTCTCGCGGATATTAAACTAATTTACGATTAGTCGAGATGCGGCGACAAATCTCGCGAGGGAAGAAAGCTGCGGAGGCGAGTGCCAAAGAAAAGCCTCGTTGAAAAATTGACGCGTCGGGGCAAGTGGGGAAAGGCACAGAAAGCTTTTCGAGCCCGCAGCCCCAGCGAGCGAAGGGTATGGGGGGGGGGGGGGGATCGATGTCGGGCTGGAAACCACGGCAATCAACAAAAGTGAAACGTATATAGCACGTACGTCGGGTCGCGCGCTGTGGCATATGCCTATTTGTCGAAAAGCTCGCTCGCGACATCGATCGATATGCACAAAGCGCAGTATATACGGGGCACGCTCGCAGCGAGATTTTGCCCGAGCGACCGATATTTTATCTTGCGTTCCGGCTGGGGATGCGTGCGAGCAACAAGTTCGATGTGCGCGCGTCTGCTATCGAGTTTCGAGGCCGAGTTCAAAGTTTCGGCTAATCGCTTCCGACGCCAGCAGGAAGGACGAAGAGGGAGATGAGTCTCATTACGGGATTTTAATTCGATTCGACGTCGATCCTTAGTTCGTTTAATCAAATACCGTTAGCTTCACTATGCACCAGATCCATTTCCAAGAGTAACGCTAAACTTCTCTTGACTTACATTAGCACTGATAAGTATAATCTGTTAGTTTTTTTATTTTTCGATTCAAGCCGTTCTGTTGAGCTACTGTGACTTGGCTCAGTGGGTGAAATCACGCGTCAAGAACAATTTTTGATTTTCTTAAAATCGACCGAGTATCGCTATACTTTGTATGGTATACTTTTTGCCTGGCTTATGGATTAGAAATAGAATGGACATGTGATAGCCAATGTTTTTAAATCGCCGGCATTATTTTGATTTACAAAATTCTTCTACTACAATTTACAATAAACATTATTATTCCGCCTTAATTGAAAAATTATCGGACAATTGTTCAATCTCATATAAATTGGATATATTGTTAATCATTCGACCGAAAAATATTATCCTGGTAACATTTTATAAGCCATCGTACATTTGACAATTCAAACTGGAACTAACTCGAACACAGGTATTAATGATGCCAACGTCAAGTGCGCCAAAACGATATCACATTAAAAGATCAGTAAATTGATCGTAAAACTATTGACGCTCCTGGCTTACCTACAAAGCCAAACGAAAATACAATATATGTCAGGATCAAATAAGTTGGATGCAAAGTAATTTATGCGTTGCTGCATTTTTCCGTCGTCAGCGCCGGCGTTGTCAGTGGTGTTGATGCGACAAATTATTTCTCGCGCGCCGGTCGCGTTATTTTGGTAGGGACGACGACGATGCCGTTACTATACTTAGACAAGCAGATGAGGAGGAGCAACCCACATGAATAATGCAAAAAGTGTAAGCCGCGACGCGATTCTCTCTCTCTCTCTCTCTTATTTTTCATCGTGACGCGCCTTAGCTCTTGCGCGGTCACATGTAAATCAACCCTAATTATTGAGTCAAAAGTGATCTCCATCCGAGAGAAAAAGTTGGCAAAACTTTTCGATGCCGGTCGACCGAAAAAGAAGTCGTTCTCCCGTCGACTTTTCCATCTGACGCTACTTGAATTAGCCTCAATTTCCCGACAAACTGCGCGTCATTAGCTTCGCGTAGAGATTCGTTAGTAAGTTTGTTTGTCGCAGATTGGTTTGACCCCGTCTTGCTACTTCTCTGCTTGTAATATTCGTAAAAAGTGTAAAAACCAACGGTAAATTTTTCTTCTCCCAGCTCAAATACGAGAGAGCTTTCGGATGATCGATTATTACACATTACATTCTGCGATAACAGCCTTTATAAATATATGAGTCGTAGAGTATAGAAATACGTCCTTCGCTCGCAAAAGTCCTTTATCTCGTTCAATTTTTACAACGACAATCGAATTGTTTTATTAACACTGGGCAAGACTGTCGCGACCGACAGCACGACAAGCCAATTCATGCCATTTGCTATTTAATCGACAAAAATAAAATAGAAAACGTAATCTAGTCGATCGTTAACGTATGACTATGCAATCATCGTTTGCTGTTCTATACTCAATGAAATTCGTAATTGGATCGTGGCAATATACCGATCACTCGTGTTCGATAACGACATCTCCCTCTGAATAAAAACTACGGAACATGTAAAACATAGGACATTCATTTGTCCAAGATTTGTTTGTTTACAGCCTCGTAAATTTCGTTGAGCTTGTAAAACAGGCAGTTAACGAGTGTGCAAATATCGTCGCTATGTACGCCAAAATAATAATATCCAGCAGTTGAGTAATCAAAACGTTTATAACTTCGTTTGGCGCGCTATAAAACTTGGTTATTTGGTGTAGGCTAAAGTTGACGCTCGCTAGAGTTCATTATCACTCGCGCACTATGTCTGTCTTTTGACGAAATTCGCCAAGCGATTTAATTATTTTATTGCACTGCACGAAATATTGTTAGCCTGTCGCCCGTCGAAAACTCAATTAGACGTAAATTCAATGTGCTGCCGTAGTTGCAAAAGGGCGAGCTGCTGCTGCTGCTGCTGCTGCATGCTTTCAGATTCAAGCCAAAGTGATTTCATCATTTTCCTCAGACGTGTCTTTTTTATAAAAAGAAATGGGTAGCGCCACGTGGAGCAAAACGATTCTACGAGCCAGACTTTTATCTGCGAAGAGTTTCGTTCAAATCGCTACCATGCTATTCGCGTTGTCTGTTAAAACCTTCTCGAACATTTTTTATTTACATCGGTTAGCGATCAAACGCCCTTATTGATTCACGTTGCATAAAAATAATGAAAATCATTTGGAAATCTTCCATCGCACTTTTTGATCCCATAATTCCGCACAGAAGATCAATGTTCCCCGAGGAAAAGAATATATACCGTTGGAAGATTAATTTCCCCCGTGCCAGCAAATTAATCAGCCTGAAAAGCTCAAACGATTATGACCATCATAACGAATATTTCCATTCTTTTTCGACGCACTATTTACTTGTTTCACAAATACCTAGGTACGATAGCTTACGTTTTCAAATCAGCTCATCTAGAAGCATTATGCATATGTATAAACATATCCCACGCGTTCAGCATTAATAAACAAAAGGCGTTTAAGGGAGTTCAGCCAAGTAACAGCGGTAGCACCAGCAGCAGCGGCAGCAGCAGCGGCAGCAATAGCACCAGCAGTGGTAGAATATGTGCTGAGGCGAAGCTCATTCTTCACAGTGATTAATGCCCATATATTCATGGGGTGGATCGTAAAAGGCCTCTGGCTCTGTAGATCGCACGCAGGCGAGAGGGAGTGATGGAGGGAGGGGGGAGGGTGGTATCCGAGGGTATTATTCGCGGTTGTGCGGCCACGACACGAGATATGGTGTCCGATATGCAGTAATCGCAGAAGCGTGTGCGGGTGTGTTTGCAGCGTGGATCGGCTCGCTAAGCGCGGCAGTGTCGCACGCCTCGGCACCCTTGGTCCTCGGTACTTGTCGGCGCGGCAGCACAAGGCTCACTGCTGTCATTGGAGGACTCGTGCTCGCACTCGCCGCTCTATTCACATCCTTCGCTCTGCAACCGCATCAAGTACTTCTCAGGTATGACAAAAGGCCTTTTTTCTTGTGTTTTCGTTTGGGTCCAATTGCCGGCGACTCTGTCGACCTACCAGCCTGACCAACTCACTTGTTTCTGACGGCGTACAGCCAACGCCATGCCTTGACGCTTTGAGCTCTCCGATCTTCTGACAAGATTATATACTCTGACAACTGGTTGTAAAGTATGCTGCTGCTGACGCCTCGAAGGAATTTTTTTTTTCAATAACTTGTAATAATAATAATCACTGATTGTGTTCAAGCATTTATTTGGTTTAATATTACTGTGCTGCATAAATTTGTAGAGACATTTAAAAGTTCAGACATTTTTCATCGCAGCGTTTTACTCTACTTTTATTGTCAGCAGTGAATAATAAACTCTTTGAATTTCAGTATTTTTTAATGCACGAAAAAATATTGAATTCAAACTGAAAGCACAAATTCCCTATTCGCGAATAACGACTTGGAAAATTTCGCACCGGCTCGAAAGAAAAATGCACATTAAAGCTTACCATGGCCTTCGCTAATAAAACGTGGGGCTGTTGAATGTCAGCGGCATTTTCGTAGTCTCGTGGGGCGTTATAATGGCTTATTAAAATATTTTTATAAGACCAGCGGCGAATTACAAGATAATTGGCTTGAATGCTTCAGCTACGGAGTGGTGCTGGGTTGCGGCGCCGGGTTGGTGCGCGAAACGGCGAACCTCGTGCTGGGACATTACTTCAGAAAAAGACGGGAATTCGTGGAAATGATCGTCCAGGCGGGTACTGGCGTTGGCATCGCACTATTCTCGGTGTCCTACAAGGAAGCTGTGGGGTAAGTTCATTTTTCTATGTTCAAAGGAAACTAGGTCACAAACTAATTATCAAGTACTTTCGATATGCCAGTTTTGGTTTTTTGTTTTTTTTTTTATGTGGATGCAGTTAATTACGCTCTAGTTAGCTCTCCTTATTGACTAGGGAAATTAATGAGCGTTAATTAGTGTCTTTTTTAGAATTCAAGCTTCTATCTTTTCTCTTTTGACTTCTTTATTTATTTTTTTTTTCACTTCTGCGTAGCGTGTGATCTGCGTTTTTCGCTAAAAAATATAATTCTCTTCTTTTTTGTGCACTAATTCTACTTGAAATTTACTCTAGTTTATAATTTGTAATTCTAGTGGAGATATTTCATCGGACGCAATTTCTTTAAGCGTATACCTTTGGCATTTTATCGCGAAGCGGATATTTAGATGTCTTTGCATCAGAAAAAAGAAATAACGTTGAAAGTCATTTTTGTTGCTGCGAAGTACACTTGAAAAATACTTACAACAATTCAGTAAATACACAGACTAATACTGAAGACAAACAAACTTTCTCGAATGTATTTGCTGACAACGAGAGCCTGCGAGATACGATATGTGCGGCTCGGTATTTTTCCGTTTCGTAAATCAAACGAATCTTGTTTGCCTCACTTCAGCTGCATTGAATATGTATACACTGGCTCTCTTTTTATACGCATATGTTTGGCGTATACATAATCCCTTCAAAGGTTTCTTTTACAATTTTTGTGCCGCACTTGCCAATTTCAATGTATAACAGACTCGCCCTCAATAGCGTTTCGGCAAAATTTGGTGCATTATAAATTTATCACATTGTAAATTGTAATTAAATAAAACGGGCAGCTTTAAATTAAAGAAAAAAACGTTTCATTGGCACCTCTCTATTGCGAAGTTAACTATAAGCTTTTACAGTAAAACTACAGCATTTTTTACTACATACATCTTTAGAGCGGATCGTGATATTTACGTGTAAAAAGAAAAATACCAGTGCGAAATATAGCCAGGAAGTTGTTGAAAAACAGAAATAATCATGTTAAGATACGCAACATAGTCGATCTCGACAATAAGAAATTGTTATCCTCATTGGCATTTGGAAAATTCCAATAGAAAAAAAAAGAAAGAAAAATACCGATTTAAAAACGCCATCTCCGGAAGAGCATACGCGCGTACAGACTCGTGCCTGTTGACGAAACGCATGGGCACGTCGAATTTGCAGTGCAGCCACGGAAATCAGTGGTGGCGGTTGTAATTAGCGCGAGAAAGCGGATGGATGTTTGGCGCGCGCGCGCGCGCACACATAGCTATTGCCAAAGTTTCGCCACACGGAGGTAATTGATTGCCAGTCGCGGGGCGGCCGAAGCGCGCGCGGCGGTGTCTCGCCGACCCGACCGGTTTACGCGATGACAGCTCTCGCGCGCGGTCCTCGACGACATTCCACGAGCGCTTTTAGCCAATCGCTCGAATTTTCCAAATTTATTGCAGTTCGGTGGGATCGTCCTCTATTCTTAGCGCGCAGTTCTTCGGTTTGACGAAAGTCGATTATAGATCGCGCCGCCTGGGAAGCCGCTGATAATTCGCAGCGCCTTGGTTCGATGCGCCGGCACGCCCGCGAGCTTGCAGAAGAGGGCGCACGACTGTCGGCGTTGAGAGTGGCAATAAAAAAATATGAAAGCCCGCGCTTAAGGCTCAGCTGAAAAACGAGCTTGATCCGCATTGTGCGCGCGCTCGCAAAAACGCAAATCTATGAATATTAAAGGCGCATTAAATAATGCAGGCGGCGCGACGGCAAAGGGCCAACATTTTGCGCCCGTAAAGCGCAATGTACGTAACGTTTATCGCACATTCCCAGTTTGAAAGCCCATAAACGACTGACGGAAAATGTTAATTAAAGATCAAAGTGTAATGGTGGCTCGCGAAAAGCAGCCACGAGCGAGTTCAGCCAGGCAAGTTGGCGACCCACGCTCGACGGGGAAAAAAGCGAGGACAGCTCGTCCCGGTCGGCTCTCGCGAACTAACTTACCGTCGTGGCCGCTGAGGAGTCGCGACGCCGAGCAAAAATAACGAAAGCTAGCCAATGTGGCTTCCTCTCGCGGCGAGGCAAGCGAGAGACGTGCCGCTGTCCTCTGGCTGCTGCTGCTGCTGCTGCTGCTGCTGCTGCTGCTGCTGCCGCCGCCACAGCGCGCCGGCAATTTATGACGCCGACGCCGCCGGCGAGAATTTCGCACGAGCGAATTTACGCGCAGCGCCCGGCGACGCGGCTGGCGCGCGTCGAACCTCGCGCCTCGTGTGTCGACCGAAATAAAGTCCGAGCGGATCGAGGTCGCTGTTGTGCGCGCGACGATTAGAACGCCGCGCGCCTTGCGATCGGCGAGCTCGTCACTGCGCTCGTTCCTTTTTTCAAAGAGCTCGCGTTCCACGGCAAGCAGTGGTTGCTTTATTTCTTGTTAGAGCCGCCCACTGCCTCGTGACCTGAAAAACACGGTGATCGCCTTCTACCAGGCGTTTCACAGCTAGCGCCATATTTCTAGACACGATTTCAAGCGTCAGAATGATAGAGTAGTAAACCAAGCTTGATTCTAATCTTTTTCAAGATGAAAATCATCGGCTAAAGTAGATCAAGTAGCTCTCGGTCATAATAGTACGCTTCTTTGATATAATTATGATCGAGCGTCGAGCATCGATTATTTATACATCTGCGCGACCTCGCGTATATTATCAGCAAGAGACAATAGCTAACGAGGGTGTTTCGAAAACTGTCGTGGGCGTGTACCGCTATAAGTTCAAGTTGAACCAGTCCGTAAATAAACTGCATTGGCGCGCTGTAATCATAATGCAGCGCGTATCGTTTGTTCGCTAATTTCGTTGATCTGCTATAAATAAAACGGCGCGCGGTGTACATAAGCTGCAGTCGTTGTGGGTTTATCGGCGGCTAGAAATATTAACTCTGACGGGGCCAGGGCTGGGGTTAAAATTATACCTCTGGGTTTCGTCTCTCCCGCTGCCTTAATCATTTGGATTGGTTTTGCCGCCGCTGTTTACCACGTAAATACAGACTCTGCCCGTAAGTTTGCGAACAATGCTGCAAGTAGATAAGCTCCGTGGGATCGGGTTTCAATGCTGGGCTATACCATCGCGCATCCCGTGAAAGCGTATACACTCTATCTGTCGAAAGAAACTCGACATTTTAGCGGATACGCGGGAGTAAACAATGCGCGTTGCTTCAGTTTGCATTCACTGTTTTTCCAGCTGATTTCACGATAGTACAGACGTCTGAAAGGAAATTCGCCGTTAGACGATTCGTAAAAACAACAAAAGTGTTTGAATGACTTTTGGAACAAGGTCGTTATTGGAAAGCATACCAGAGAATAAAACGAAAGAAAAAATTGCGTGCGCTGGCAAGAATCAAGCCGGTAGGCAGTGAGGATGGTGGTTACAAGACTGCCAATAGTGCCAAACGGATGAACGTTCATATCAAAGACTTTACGTTCTAATGAAAATTAACGAGCGAAAAGTACTTGATTTATTTTGCTCCCGCAAATCGATGCATTCCATCTGCCGCGGCGGGGTGGATCTTTGCCCAAAGCATTTACAACAATTTACGGCCGCTCAATTAGATCTTTCCCCTCGCGAGGAGAACTATTTAACTTGCGTCTTCCTATATTTTTTACTCGAAAGTTTATTTGCTCGTCGAACGTGTCCAATGCTACTTTCAGCCCTCCGACACATATGTAGAGGCGAATGAAATTGACTTTCCGCAGCTGCTAGCGTGAAAAGGTATTAAAAAACTTGTGTGCGGTATAAACGTGGATTTCTGTAAGTCCGAGATAGATTTTCGCATGAACTTTTATATTGAAACTCTTTGCGGGGAAAAATGTGTAATTTTTTAAAAGTAATACATTAAAACGAATAATGTGCCTGAATAAACTTACGGTCAATGGTTTTTTTGCAGAAAATTAGGTTGGAGGCTGGGCCTTCAAGCGATAACCGGCGCCCTCTTCATGGCGTTCTTTCTGGGTCTGATCTATCGAAGCGCATCGCTGTATCATCCGCAGAGGCACGCGATTGTGCATTTGAAAAATCAACAGAATAAACTCAAGCCCAAATCCAAGTCGGCACTCAAGGCGGCCCGACAACCGCTCTTGGATTTCAGTCCTTTGGCGAGTCGACCTGTTAGGATGCTCATGCTTGCCGCCGGTACTGCTTCTTTTGGACTTTACACGCCAGCTTTTTATATTGTGAGTTGTATTGCATTCGAATCTTTCATTCCTCACTGCAGAAAAAGATTTATTTATGAGGTGTACAATCAAATGCATCCGAGAAAAATTGTTACTATAACGATCAGTGTAAATGTGTAATACGAGTCGGTTGTCGGTTCAATCCTCAGTAGTAATAGTCAGGCTTAAGACAGACGTTAAAAAATGTGGAAAATAATATTGTCTAACCTGCTTCCTATTTTATGATATAATTAATGCGTAACGTTCTATAAAGAGATGTTAGAGCTGCATCGACCTGGAAAAAAGCACGGCATATTGTGGTGATTTTGTAATACGACACGCGAGTTAGCTGAAAAAGAAAAGTACGAAACGTCGGGAAGCACGACTTCGATGCTGGTCTAAACTTTTGTAAAGGTAGAACGGTGTGCGCGTCACTGCAACTCCCCAACGATGCGATTCGATTTGCGCGACTTCTTTGTGAAAGGACTCGAAGCGCTTTACTTTCTACGTTTATTGCAACACTCCGGTGAAAATGTTTGCTTACTCGACTATTGTCGTGCTCCGTTCGCCGCGGCTCGTATGCAACATCTCGTGCGCGTTTCGACGAGAAACACGAAGAGGAAATGTCAAGCAACGCTATGTTTAATACGAAAACTCGGGCGTTAGCTCGCAAGCTGACGGTAACGATGACAAATCATTGAAATCTATCGCTTGTCATTGGCATTAACGACAACCATTCACAACCTCTCCTTTTTAATTTTCTTGTATTAGCAACGTAAAAAATACGGTCGAGTTTTTATGTCCGCACGTGGCACTTATTATATGCCCCGCGTAATATTTTTTTACGAACGTCATGGAAATAAAATTACGACACTTCGAGCCAGATGTAAAGTATATCCATACGTAAGCTCGTTGTCGCGAGCGGAGACAGTCCTTTGGCCATTTTCCCGTGAGCAAACTTTGCCGCTGTAGCGCAAAGAGAGAGAGAGAGAGGTGAGTGGTAAAAATGTTTATAGGAAAATCGATGGTCTCGTCCTCGTACGCCGCGCTATGACGAGCCTTGTATCCTTCGTTAAGTGTGTCTGTTAATCGTGACGTAACACGCCAAAAAGAAAGTGGCGCGGCCGGGAAGCTTAGCGAATGAAAAAAGGAGGAAAGAGGGAGGAAGTCAGTCGATGCAGTGCGGCAGGCTGTGGCGGCTTACGTAACGATGTCTATTGCTGTTGGCCAGGCGCTGCAAGAATACCAGGAGGAAAGCGACACAAGTGCCTCGGTATTATTGCAGACCTGCCTGGGTCTGTCGGCAGCTTTGGGCTGCGCCGCCTGGGGAATGGTGACCGCCCGACCGTCTGCCCAATGCCTCGTGTCCAGGCAATATCTCTGCCAGGGGGCTCTCGTCGGAGTTGGTTAGTATCTCTGAAGCCTACCGTTTCTCTATAATACACACCTGCCCTGTACCCGTATATACGTATAGTTTGACGCTCGATTGCATCGTCGCGCGCTGCAGCATTATACTCAACCGGTTGAGCTATATCTCTGTCGAGGATTACGCACTGCCGCTTAAATCAGCTCGTCGCGATGTCGCCGACTGCCACTGCTTTCTTCCCATAATTCAGTCCTCTGACGGATCCCTTCTTCTTTCTCATCGCCATTGTCTGTCCTTGGCAATACCTCGCTTCATAACTTTTATTGGAATTCCTTTGCATTGCTCGACGTTGCCCATTTCGCGGCAGCCAACCTATCACAGAACTAATTGTCTGAATTCATTGAAAGATTTTTATTATATTCAATCCACGTACATCCATCCGGAAATGTATCAACTGAAAGTTACACTTTGACATTGAAATGAAATTAATGACGTCGCCGTGCGTGCCACTGGCAAGAGCGCGCTCCGCTGGTGATATTCAATCTTGATTGGCACATTGCGTCATATGCACGTGCTCATAGCCACGGTGTTTCGTAGCTTTTTTTAGTTTTGTTTATCGCAATATCTCCGTGTGCTCTCGTTCTCCTCGTCTACGGTGCTTGAAAAATGCCACTGGAAACCTCATTCGCCAGCGCATAATGCCAGCCGCTCAATCTTTAATGATACTTCCTCCTTTCATCGTCGCCACGTCGGCATTACCACAGTGCCGCTTAGATTAAAGTAGAAGCTCACCGGCTCGGCTATCAAAGTCTGCTGCTGCTGCTGCTGCTGCTGCTGCTGCTATCGCCGCGGCGGCGAGGCTTCGAGCTCTCATAACGTTGGACGCGCGATACACGCCAAAACCTACAAATCGGGCATCTCGCGGTGACTATGCGTTCTTTCGCACTTTTCTCTTTCTTCGGCCCGTTACTTCCTGCAAATTAAATACACCCTGGTCTCTGACGGATCGCTCGTCCTCTTTTTCAGTTTGCTCGCGTTAATCACGTCCGAGGCGAGCATTAATTTTATTAAGTTGATTAACGTCCCGGAGTTTTTCTACGGAATTGCAGATCCAATGAGAAGAAAAAAATATGAATGGAGAGAAAGCGGAGTGTCCGTCGACTACGGAAATTTACATACTTAATCTCCATTTCAGATCCCTCCCCTCACCGCTTTCAATTCTCGTCTCTAATGAAAAAGCACCGGACTCGTGACAGTTGATGCTCCAGGAGCTTATTAAAAAGATGTTACTTTTTCAGTGAGTTCGCGCTGAAAATTTGACCGCGAGAGCTTTGCCAAGTTTATTTTTCTTCTCCGGGCGTAATCTCGAAACCGCGACGAACGGACGCGAAGAGATCCGACGCGCAATTTGGAATGGAAGCCGGAATGGGGCAAAAAGATCGATTGAATCGCGGCGCTTTTCTAGCTTCCGCTGCCGAGCCGAAAGCGAAGGCACACGGCGCAGTCCGGCAATCGTCCTGGCAAATAACGTAGAGTGGCGCGCGCGCGAGCCGAAACAAGCTGATGCATAATGCGCGCGGCTTTGCAGCGATAGCCCAGGTGGCACTTGGAAGCGTGCAAGGCTACCACGGCCTGGTGCTGGCGTCGGGACTTTACGGGGCGTCGCTCGGCGGAAGCCTGTATTCCCTGAAGATGCTCGCCCTCGAGAGGCTGAGGGCACGGCAGTTCGCCAAATCTTGGGCGCTCGTCCAGGCCGCCAAAGCTCTGCCGATCCTAGTTGGAGTTCCTCTTACAGGTACGTACAGAACCGTTCGCCCTCTCTTTTCTCCTTTCTCCCCCGTGACGCTCGTCCGCCACCCCCTTAGGTATGGGCTGACGATATTTTCGTCTGTCCCGCGACCGCCTCGCCCGCGGATTCGTGACTCGGATGCAAGAGCGTCGGTTATTCTCGCCGTCGCCGCTGGCTATTAATTCTGTAGTTTTTCAGCGCTTCGCCCATTCGTCAATGCCTACGCTTCACTACCTCTCCGTTCTTATTTTCTCTGATAACTGCGCTTTTTCACTCGCATCCATCACGCTCTGCGCCGCTCGAATAAACAATATGAATGACAACGAAAACCTCTCGCGTGCCCGGAAATTCGAGGATTCGTTAGCGCGTCATTAAGCTCCGACTAAACGTGCCTCGGCGTCTAATTCATTTTATAATCTACAACTTCGGCCAAAATTACTATTGTTTCAGCAAACTTCTAAGGGTATAATCAACTTCTCGATCTATTATACAAGCACATGGAGAGCAGCTGTAAATTCCGAATACGCTAAGTTCGAATAGTTTACTTTGAAGTATTCTGTGCGTTACCGTTATTATTGTTATTTGCTACCTTCCAGCAAAGTTAGCGTTACGATGGCTGACCGTTTCGATCACGCCACTTATTTTTATTTTTTTTTTATCGGATATCGCTATTTTCACATACAACAAATTTAACCGAAGCTGCGATCAAGTATATAGTATTTACCGGAAAAAAATACTAAGCGACGTTGACAGCGGGTCTTTAAGAATTAAATACCATTGTTCTGGAGCGCCACAATCTCAAGTTTATAGGTATTAGCATTGTAAATGGAAATAAGGGCGCCGGGTGTACGTTGAAGCCGCAGCGGCAGATGGAAACGCCAGAGTAATAAAAAATATTATGATTATTGTTATTACTCTTATTTACAAGAACATTCAAATATTAATTAATTATTTATTACTGTGCGATTGTGTAAACAATTGAAATGTGAAACTTGCTGTTATTGAAATAATATGAAAAACAACTTGAAAATTTACGTTGCTTGTGAATATCCAAATCGAATGAATGATAACTGCACGTATATACTCTGCCACGTAGAATGTGATCGATACTTATTTTATTTCTTGAAAAATTCGAGGATGGATTTTCATTGACTGCAAAAAGAGATAAAAAAGTATATTTCCGTGAGAGAAAGAAAGAGAGAGAGAGAGAGAGAGAGTTTGGTGCAAAGCTTTTAGTCGTAGCAAAGCCGGATAAAAGTGTATGGGAAAACGTACAAATCCACGATCGCAAAAGTAGATAACTGATAAAAGGACTTTCTCTTTTTTGTACTTCGGTGCCATACATCCATCTTATCTCCGAACGTTTTAGCTCCCGTGACCGTACGTGTCCTTAAACAATACCTCGCGACAAGTTGAATTGGTCCTAAATGTAAATAACGTGCGATCGGTCGGTCGAATAACTTCGTAAGAGTAGCCAAACGAGTGATATTTTTCGAAAAACATGCTGCGCCCCGTACATCATTGAAGGTAATTTTTGGAGCTCTAATCCAGTGTTTGAACTTGGTAAATATGAAGTAATTAAGCAAGCCTTTCGCGCACATATAACATTGGGCTTTTTGCTTCGAGTACATGCGAGCGTGCGAGCATACTATGGAAAACCCTTGGGCTAACAAAGTAGTCGTACATATATACTCTTGCAGTAATTAATGAGGTCCTGCGCCGCTTAACTTGACCAAAAAATTTACTCGAGAGATAAACGTACCGGAGAGCTTCGTGGAACAAAGAAAAAGCATTAATTGCCACTTGACGAATCAAGTTTTCACATTTTTCAAGTTATTAGAGCTATAGTATTTGGTCCGCGAATAATTGGATAATGAAAGGAAGGTAAAAAGGCCTTTCTCTAATACGGCTGGTTAAAAACTTTGCGGTTGCATTGTCGACTCTCAAAAGTGGATCGATAATTATGTGCAATTGTGTAATCTTGTCAAGAGAATAGGAATAATGGCAGTAGACACTTTTATTCTCGGAGCAATGGGGTGGCTTTTAAAATGTCGTCAATCCGGTTGAAATCCAGCAGCTCGACACTAACAATTGTACACTGTGGCTGTTTATCATTGAGTTGTCCAACTCTTGTACTGAAATGCAAAAAGCGAAGATTTTTTAGGAAACACTTTGTCGAAATGAAAAGTATGGCTCAGTACACGCCAAATAATTCGATCTGAGAAACATTAATAAGAAACTTAAATATATGGCTTCAAGATAAATTCAATGAAAATTGGTAAATAGCAAGTGTCGGAAAGTCACTTGTCAAAACAAGGATGAGTAGGCAAGGGAAGAGAAGAATGCCCTATAAAATCACTGAGCAGCACTATGTGCACGGTATAAAAATCCCTGAGAATTCACACCAACGCCTGACTTATTCAAACGATAAAAACCATTCCAAAGCTACTCCAGGTTCTCGCGGAGCAGCGACGAGCGCGGGACAATAGCCAGCCAACGACATCCGCATCGGAGAGGCAGCGCACGTAGTCGCGCAGTCTCCGAGACGCGAACGCAGCCCGCGGCCACTCCGCGGCACGGCCTCTCTCGCGCGCGAAAGACAGGACGAAAAGAAAAAGAAAAAGAAACAGAAAACAAGACAAATAGGCGCGCGCTCAGACGTGGGCTCACGTTGCAGGCTACATGAATGCGAGCAGCCCGCGGGTGGGCTACTACGCGTGCACCCTGAGTTCCTTGTGCGGCGCGGCCCTGCTGTTCCTCGTCGGCTGGGCTCGGCGAAACCCATGCTCGCCGATCGTCGGCGCTGCCGCGAGCGCCGCCGCAGCCAGTGCCGCCGCCGGGGGCGCCGGCGGCTCGCTCGCCTCCATGCCCGTTTGCGCCTGCTCGGCGGCCAACGTCACTCCCGTCGCGAGGACGCTCACCAGGCTGCCCAAGTCGCAGTCGCTGCACATACCGCTCAGCAGGCCCGAGACTCCGCTCCACCATGGCTTGCATCCCGGCCATCTCGATGGCTTTCACAGGAATAGCTTTTACGGATACCCGCATCGACACTTCCACGAGCAACAGCTTGGTAAGTGGTTTTGCGCTCGGTCGTCGCTCGCCGGTGCTGTTCTTTTCAGCGGCCGACGTATCGGAACACCTCGGTACTTCAAAAACTTTCCGCGGCGCCTCGTTTCGCTATTTTCTCGAATAAACAATTTTTCGCCTTGTCCTCCGTCGCTCGACGTGCATCGCAAATAATTTCGAAAGTTTTCGTTGCTTACTCCGAACTTGAATCTCAGCAAATTCAACTGTTCCACTTGAATTTTCCTTTCTTTGTATGTCGGGCTCTTCGTTTTCTCTTTCGAATGCTTTCGTACATCGGTCTGTCGACTTGCGGCAACTCAGCTGGCTAGTTAAATCGCAATATCGTATCTTGCCTATACAATAAAATTCAAATTCAAGTGTAAACATTAGCGCGAGAAAAGAAAAAAGTATAAGCGAATAAAAAAACATGAAAATAATGTTCTAAAATTTTCTATCTGGTGCGAAATTGATTCTTGTTTGATTTAACGGGTATAACTTTGAAACTGCCTTGAGTAAAATGTCGTTACGAGCCGATAGAGGAACATAATGCAGAAATTATGGCGTCGCCGAAAAACGACATCTGAATGCATTGAGAATGCGAGCATCCCGGTATGTTCGTATAACTACCCAGCGTACTTCCGTCGACTCCACCTCTACCTACAGACCCATTAGCCAAATGTATTTTGTATTATGCATAGGAATTTGAGCTGTTACTTTTTCCGCGTACATAGGGTTTATTCATAATTCCATTATTCACGGAGGACATAAACAAGTTTATTAACAAAGCATGACTATTACACGGAAAATGCGTTCTATTATTTCTGTTCAAGTTTTATCGTGGCTTATCGCATTTTTACATTTAGTACATGCGACTTGGAACATTGCTTACGATCGCTGTTTTGTACGTAACCCCATCAGATTAGTTTACCCAGCAGAAGTTCAAGTGTAATGAGACGACGAGGGCTTTAGCAAACAGACGCATTTTGCTTGCTAATAAACGTCCGGCATTTTCAAGTGCCTGTGTTTTGCATGAAATTGTGTTTAAAAAGGATCTAAGCGTTTTTACTTAAACGGAGACTGTTCGTGTAATTAGCGTTAATAATGAACTATTTAACAAGGACAATTGAGCGTGGCCGTAATTGAAAAAAAAACTTTTTCCGATACTTTCCAATTACTCAAGCTGATGTCTTTTCCGAAACTTAGGAACAATTTGCGGCGGCTGCTTACCACCTCAAGGGCCACTGAGGCCAAGCAAAAGCGTGCCCGAAGGTCTGGCGCAACCCTACCATTATCAGTTTGATCCTCAGCAGCAATCGCATCATCAGCTGCACCCTGAGCTCGTGCAGCGCGCAAGAACGCCAAGGCGCAGTCGCGATGTCACCGTCATCGAGCAAATCACCACGAGCGTCTGAGGTTGACCTCAAAGACCGTCTTGTGGACCGTCTAGATCGTACTACATCAAAGCGTAATTGGTGTGCTGCTCGAGTGCAGCGTCGCGAGTGGCCAATGAACTATGACTTTGGCTGCACGGACTGCTTTTACGCGACGTGCGCTCATAAACTCAGTGTGTTTACGCGAACATTGCGACACGCAGTGCCGACAGCGCGGCTCTAGTTGAATGGATCCGAATTGGTGCGTTTGGCGCGTCGTCGATAGCAGGAGTATAGGTGTGTTAGCGTTCAATTTTATTACGGAAGACCGCTGTGATCGCCACTCTTTTTCAAATCGTTAGCTATTCTTATTATTATTATTTTTTATTGATTGTTACAACAAACTCGTACATCGAATTGTATGTAAAGCTGCCTCACTACTTGTTTCCATCGTATATTTTTCAACGGATGGTCATTTTACGGATCCTCTAGCCATTTCATTTTCTGACGAAAGCTTGTCAGATTTCAATACGACCATGATATTACTAACGTATTTAGAGTTTTTTTTACAACAGTTTCAAGCGTTACATTACTGTTTATACATATACATTATGATCTTTCTACAACCAATCGTAACAATTTGAAACGATAAATGCACACGTGGATGTTCCAATTTTTACATGTACGTAATTTCTTACCTAAATTATCGAATAACTTATTTTTTAATCCATCTTAGCGTGTTCTAATATTCATCAAATAGTTAGCGAGCAATAAATTAAAGATTGTAAATATTGATGGACATTAAGATTGCCAAATAATACATGATTTTGAATAACGTAGATCTTTTCTACAGTTTACATTAGTAAAACAGAGAGCTGTACAATGGAAATTTTGCATTTTCAATTATACATATATACACATATGTATTACCTCCAGGTTTTTGTGCCAAGCAATTTATCGCTATCAAGAGTTCGTTGTACCGTTATTTGGCAGCCGTACGCTGCTGGAGTTTAATTGTAATTCGTGCGTAACGACGCGCTAATGTGTATCGCTGAACTGCAAAGCGTTTCCTTTATGTAATCGTATGCGTACATTTTTATGCGTTTCAGCTCTCATTGTTATGCAGAAAATTTAACGCTTCGTGTGTACATTACAAAGTTTGCAAGCCAAGTATATGCTTTTTCAAGTGTTTTTGCGTACCTTTGACGTAGGAACAAGTGAATCGACTTTTGCTTTTACGAATATGACATTCAGACTGCATTTTACTGCATGAAAATTAATGCATTTTCTGAAAAAATCGAACACTTATGGAATGATCTTTTTAAGTAGTGGTATAAAAAAAAGCTTCCCAGGCGAACAATTCTTGCGTAGCAGTGAAAATATTGATTGGATGCATTATTCAATGCATCGAAAATATCTTGTGCATAAATGTACTCAAGTTTTGCTTGTATAATCAATCCGAAAAATCGTATTAGCGTGCATCAAGTCTATAATGAAATTGAAGTTATCTAATATTAACACGTCAAGTATACGATCTAACATTGCGCCTGACTCAATATAAGTCATGTAGCACTTAACGTGTTAATGAAGCTGCCAACATTTATGGAGCTGGACTCCTAAGATTGAATCACAATTTAATATATGAAATAGAAAGCACATTTAGATTGTCAGCACCACAGACAGATAGCTTGCTTCGTTAGATACACATTATCAATGCAAACGAACGAACGAAAGTGTATCCTCATGATAAACGTTCAAGTTTGACGCTTATGAGCGCTTGACATAATTTACAAGCGGCAAGACTTGCCATTAAGTTTGTATTTGCGATATATTTTATACGCGTGATACCTATATGTGCAATTTCTAATGTTTAAAGCGGGATTATAGTTCGATTCCCATTTTTTTTCTTATATAATGACAAATTCATACATTATATACTGAAAGACTTACTGTAAGAATTTTTTTAAAAGGAATATATTTTATAAAATTTGCTATTTCACTTTTTTGCTTGTATCGACGTTTACTGATTGAATTTAAAGAAATATTTAATTACAAGACTACATTGAATAAATGTTTTTAACACATTTCGTGTGTTACAATCAAAGACTATTGCACAGTTAATAAAAACCAGTATTAAATACTATAAGTAAATAATTATTACTGTACAAATTAGACGTTTGATCGCGTGCGTAAGATAAAAGAAATTTGCAATCCAAAACGAAAACATAAGTACGTAGTTTATTAGAAAAAGGAATCAGTAGATTTTTATAAAGCTCTCGGAAAGCGAGCGTTTGTTGTTCGCTTATAGATTTTATTGTATATGTTATACATATACCCGTAACTCGTTACTTTCTTGCAATCCTATGGAAATAAGTAGGCAAACATGGTTTTGCAGCGAATTAGCAAGAAATGAGAAGGAATAATGTACATGGAAGCAGCGTATCGTTAATCGGATATAATACAGAGAATCGTCCTTCATCATTTTCAGCAGAGAAGTAACGAAAAACCCAAGAAATAGAGCGTAAGCTGTGTTTATATAAAGCTTATATCCTGTATACCTATGCAGCGTTACGACGGAAAAAGATGGAAGAGAAATTATACGGGGCCCAATATCAACTGTTACAATCAGTAGACTAAAATAACTGTTGAGAATACGTTGGTCCGCGCACACCAAAAGTGCGATTGAGATAATGGGTTTTTTTAACGATCGTTAATCATCTTAGTCTGTTGATTTCATCTAACAAATTACCATTTCAAAATTCACTGTAGTAATAATGAATTTCGCTAAGATTATTTTACGGTAGCTAAACATTAAGTAAGTAAGCTGATTGATAGCAGACCTTTTTTATGCTGCTGATTTTGTAATGACACAGATGAATGATACTGCATTTAAGTAGCAAAGAAATAGAATTATTAAATGTGAAACATATGCGACATTATACTTATGAACATTTGAAAGATTTAAAAATCAGTTTTATGCATAATATGGTGTTAATGAAAAATATAATTGTGTTTTAACAACTTTATTCGTGACTACTATACTATTGAATAATACATAAATACGATAATCGCTCTATGAAATTAAGAATGTTTACTAAAGGAGAATTATTAGCTCAGGAATTAAACACGAATCGCATCAAAATTACATGTTCAGCGTTTTAAAATAACGATATCAAGCCTCCACTTTGTTGCTTATCATTAAAATGTGCCTTGAAGGCTTTAGTCAATAATTACAAATATTAATGTGGGTTATAATTCTCATAAAAAGAATATCTTTAATTTTAAAAGATTTCTTTTTTCTTACAGTTTACGTACAAAACGAGATATATATGTACAACTGAATTACGCACTCACTTTCGAAAATTTTCAAATTATTGTGATGCTAAAATAAAATTTAATGCCGTTTACAGAAAGATTTATTGAAAATTCAATTGACGTTGAAGATTTTTTAAAAACGTCTGAATTCATAGATAATATTCAAATTGAATTTAAAAATTTACATATTTCAAGAGACATGCACAATCGCATAAAACCAAGGACTTATTTGACCAATAATAATTTTTCGCATAAAAATTGAAAAACGTTAACATCTATAAATAAGCATTCTATAAATGTTCAATCATCAAAATGTATTATTATATGATATACGTTAACGCATGGATTTTCATATGCAAAATTGAAATTCATTAAATGAACTGAAACGAGGACCGAACGGAGGAATCAAATAAAAAACGAAAAATATAGTAGATAGTTTTATGTAATAAATACATAGAAAATGCAAATGCAATTACATTCATAATTGTAAGTATCGAGATTAGAAAGTCGACTGTACTTGTATTTGAAATATATGTAAATTTGCCATGTATTTATGAACCTTGTAAATATATTATTTAAAAAATTATCAAAGATAATATTTTTATATAGAAAATTATCTGCACCCGTGCGATATCATTAAAATACTACATATTATATTTCGTAGACCGGATGGGCACGAGGCATCCTTGTGAGAAATACAAGTTAATTTTTGCCTAAATTTAGAATCTTTTTTTTTATTTTTCATCTTTTTAATTTATTTCTCATGCATTCTCTTAAAGAAGCTCAGGTTACGTTAAAAATTCTACTTTATCCACGTAATCATATATCAGCGTCTAAACAATAGGAAGGGCAATAAGAACAACTTTAAGAAAGATCAATCAAACCAAGAACTGAAGCTTCCTTTCGTAATAAATCAGAAAAATGTCTATTCGATCGCAGACAATTATTGAGGAGATCAACTTATCAATTTTTTGATCGCTAAAAAGAATTCAGGGTTCCATCACCAATTCTCAAGATAATTTCTGGCACTCGGATTCTCTAATGTTAAAGCCTTCCCATTGATTCGGTATTGGAGGCTGTCTAATATAAAAATAGCAAAATATCCAATAGCAAAATGATATCGAAATAATTTTACTTATTAAAACTAGAAAATATTTAAGAGAAATAAACTCACACCAATTCACAGCTTAAATTCAAAAATGTTTTTGCTAAAAAAGTCTTCAGGCAAAAGATGTCCAATTTTCGAATTGAGAGGCTTGAACGATGATATTAAGGTAAGAAATTTTAACCTTGTTTCACACTTTCAAATTTCAAACATTTATTACAGAACGGAGATTGGGTGGTAAAGATACACTTCAGTCAGGCATATTTTCACATTCCAATAACGGAATTTCATCGCAACCTTCTTCGCTTAATTTACAAGGAGAAATTACTTCAGATGACTAGGTTGCCTTTCGGCCTCTCATTTATATCTTGCATTTTTATGATAATAACTAATTGGATTGCAGAGATCCTTCGTTGTAAAAGTGATTGTCCTTCTAGGCAATTTTATTCTGGCCTCTCAAAAGAAAGCCAAATAGATATCTCAAATTCCTGAGATTCTTAAATTTTTTTAATAACTGGGTTAGCAAATCAAAACGCAAAAATTCATTTTAAAACCATGTTAAGATATCGAATTTCTCGGGCTCATTAGAACATCTGTTTGAATTTGATACGTTTGCCGAAAAAAGTAGCGTTTTAGAATAAAAATTTCGAAGATGTTACAAGAGAGTTTTCCTGGAAAAGAGTTATATAATCAAAAAACTATATAAAGTGCGTTGGGAAGCCTAAATTTTGCAGCTAACTTAGCTATCCATGAATATTGTTTTCACTGCCGTAATTTACAACGATTCCACAAAAAATTTCGTGAAATAAAACGAGAAAAGCATGCCGTTCAACCTCTTGTAATTGCAGAGCTTCGTTTGTGGAAAGATACGGTATTTTCCACAACTCAATTACAAAAGAGCCTGGTTATTAATCTTTTTATAGCGGATTCTGTAGACCCAAATTGGGGAGCTCGATTAAACAGAAACCAACATTTGTTGGGATCTTGAACAACAATGCAGAAATCATGGCACTCAAACAAGGAGTTAATGTTTCCAGTTTATGTAAAAATAAGAGGATTTCATTGAGATCTTCAAAATGTTCATATTCTCGTATCGTTGAACAACCATATACCTGTTGTTTATTTTAATAAAGAAGGCGGCACTCATTCGATGGAATTTCTCGATCATACAAAATCCTCAAGATAGTCGATTTACTGAACGTGACTTTGACATAAGGTAAGTTGGGGGAATATGCCAGTGCGGGAAATATGCCACTTTGCTATATCTCCTATAATTATAAGTAGATATCGACAGGAGTAAGATTGAAGTATTTATTATGTATAGTTGACCATGCTGCGTAAATACTACAGTATACTGACGTAGTTTTCAGTTGCTTTCTAGACACAGTTGGATAAACTTGGTGAAAATCTAAAATTTTCTGTAACTTTAATGCTTATTTTCTATCGTATTTATACGTTTTTCTTAAAACGAGTTTTTGTGTATTGCGTAGAATTAAAAACTTTGAATTTTGGAAAATGTGTTTTTGTGTAATTTAAACTAACGAAGAGATTATTTTATGGCCTTACTATGGTTTAAAGAATGATCGCATTACTTTCAGACAATCAGACTGAAAATTAGGAATAGATTTTAATAAATGGCTACATCCTATTAATTTTTTAAATATTAACTTAGACAATTAAAGTGAATAAAGAACAGATTCTGTATAAAAAATTTCCTCTATTTGTTTCAATTACGGATAAAAAGGAAGCATTGTTATAGAAAATTGGATTCGTTATGTTCTTAAAGGTGCGAATATAAATGCTTCTCCGATTAATATTCGATCAACAGTTGCATGTCGCGTCCAGTTAAATAATATCACATTACAGGATATTTTGGAGCATGGATATTGGACTTATGTGGAAACTTCGCAGTCGTTATTGCAAGGAAGTTCAACGTGATAATGGAAGCTTTTCTAATTTACTTTCAAGTAATTTTAAATAAGTTTAATACTTTCTAATTTTGTCATTTAGTTTGTTAATAAAATTCGAATACTGTTAATACTGAAGAGTTTCATTGACTAGATATCAATTATTTCATTTTATTTGTAATACAGCATTGAATATTATCCCGCGAACAACAAACACGTCGCATAAGGATGCCGCATACCCGGTCTACAGCATATAACATTAGTGCTTTGTACTATAATAAAACATGTATTATATGTGCAGCCGGTACACCGCATCCTGGTAATTATCTGAGTGAATGTAAGATGACTATGAAGTAAGACGCATTCGCTGAGCGATGACGTTCTACTGGATTCTAAAACAAACAACTATCAAAGTGGAAAATTAAGGAAAAAGATTTAAGATTAGTGCGGAAAATTTAATAGCTTCTTTCATAAGAATACCGTGTATCGACTCTACATATAATACGTGTTTTATTATAGTACAAAACACTAATCATAATGATGATAAAATGAATATATACGTTTCATCATTCATATAATTATAAAAACTTTTTTTATGCGTATGAAATTTTTATTATATAACTTAAAGTGAGTAGTATTCAAAATCTTAAAAGTGTACAATGCAAAAAATTGTTCCAAGTATCGGAATTAATACATTTTCAAACACATTTGCGACATTCGATTTTGATTGCGATTCAACAATTCAAAACATTAAAAATCAGAAGAAATCTTAGATCATGTAGTCGCTGTCGCCCTCTGGCGTGTACAACCTGAACACAGCGCATGGTCATCACTATCTTTCTCTCTCTCCTTCACTCTATCTCTCATTTCACTCGACTCTCGACTCTCGAATATCGCGCGGCTGTTCAGTGCGCACACATTAACATTATCTTTACAGGAGTGCTTATCAGTGTGCGTGCATCGCCGCGCCGGAGAAATATAGATGGAACGGGTAGCAGCGGCGGTGGCAACGGCGGCAGTAGTCCCTTCGCGCACACATACGTGTCAGCTGCAGCAGTGAGAGCTGGCGAGACGCAGGCGCGGCGTGTGCGCTTTCTGGCCACAGAAGTTGTTGTAACAACGTTAGCAAGAAGGAGCGATAACAACGTACGTTGACGTCGGCGGCCTCGTCTGGGCCACCAAGCTTGCGAACACTACCGTGTACTAGTTGGTTTTCCGTTAGTGTTTCAAGCCAGTTGATCGTTTTGACGAGGATGGAGATGAGCGGCCAAGCGCTGGTAACACTTGGACTAGCCCGGATCAGCAGGTTCGTAGCGTACGAGACTAAAAACCCGATATAACCTTTAAGTCGCCTGGCGTCCGTGTAAACCACCTGCATGTATGTCGCGTTGTGTCGAGCGTGCAGTACTTGAGCCCAACCCTACATCGAAGCCTTAGCAGAGTCGAGTGCGAGCTACTTGGAACCAAGTCACTCGTCACCTCGTCTCTCATTCGCTTAGCTTCTTGTATTGTGTACACAGTTAATTCGCTGAGACGAGAGAGCAGCCGAGTCAGGTGTGTGAGTGCGTAACCCACTTTCCCGGAGCATCCGTGATCCAGAGAGAGAGAGAGAGAGAGAGAGAGAGAGAGAGAGAGAGAGAGAGAGAGAAGAGAGAGAGAAGAGAGAGAGAGAGAGTATGAGAGAGAGACAGAGAAAGAGCGCGGACACGTGTACTCTCTTATATGCCGAAAGCCATATGGATTTGTCGACATATCTCGGGTTTTTTCTCCTCTGCCGAACCGCGACCTTCTGATACTTATCGCGTTCTTATCCGCGGCAGTATTGTTATTTCCACGGTTTCATCTCCGCGAACGAACGAACGTGCGCGTAGGTATGCATCGACTGTTGTTTTATACTTGTGCTCGGATAACTGTTTGACTCGTTTTCTTGCCAGAGCGATATTCGAGTAGCGTCTTATCTGCGTTATCATTATGATTAGAGAAATTGACAGGTAATCGAGTGTTTACGTAATGAGTCGTGACTAGGTCACCAAGCAGGGAGCGAACACAATGATTCCACTGAAACGATGCAGTTGGGTTAAGCATCCTCGTAAAAGCTCGGCCGTTCTTGTATTATCAGAGCGATTTTCGTGCGCCGAGCGGCAGCCGCGCGTGCAAAAATGAACGCGCGAAAATCGCGGCACGCGCACGTACGAAGATTGCTTGTGGCGCGTCGCGTGATAAGCGCACACGAGTCGTTTACGCGTCTTATCTAAATTGAGGTTCTAGCACCGGAGCAACGCGGCGTTGCAATCGGAAATCCGGAAAAGGCACTTTTCAACGAGCGCGCCAGTTGACAGCCGCGCTAATTCGATTAGCCGGTCAGCGCGATAAAAGTTATTTCGCGCCTCGTCCGGACGATCGCTGCTATTGGTGCTGTTGCTGCCGCTGGCGCTCGGATCAATCGCTGGGGGCGCCTCGGTATGCCCGCCGCGAAAGGGGATACAGAGGCCTCGCGCGCGAGGCAGCTGCTCGAGTTACCGCGGATCGCCGGCGGCTCGAGATGCTCGCCTGCGAACGGAGACGACTTGGCGCCGCGGCCGTTTACGAGGGCGACGCTCGCGTCGTCACGCGGCGATGAAAAGCGCGCTGCGAGAGCCAGCGGCGTTTCTGCCGATTGATCCAGTTTTCGGTGGCGTTCACGGTTCGTCGGGCAACTTGGCTCTCCCGCGGCCGCGCGCCGACCAGCACTCGACAAGCTAATTTCGCAACCGATAATCGAAGTATTAATAGCTTGCGTCAACGTCGAGCGTCGCGAGTATGGCTATCGATGCCGGCTCGTCGCTGCTTTCGCGGGAACGCCCTGGCGCAAATTTTTCACCTTTCAGCGTCCCTCGGCGAATAAAAAGGAAGAAGAGAAAAATGAACGCTGCCGAGTTGAGAGGCAGAGCAGCGCGGAGCTATTCCTCAAAAGCCGCCAAGATGAAGTTGTCTTTGGGCGCGTGTGGCTTGAATGAAGTGTGCGAGACTTGTATGGGAAGCACTCGCGAGGCGGGCAGCTCTCTTGCGATAATCTCGCGCGGAACGTTTCTCAACGCTTTCACTGCGCCGCTGTCGGAGTAGGGGCGGACGGAAGAAAAAGTGACCGGCGGTCTTTCCGCGACCCGAGCAGCCCAGCCGGAAAATGAGAGCGAAGATGCATAAGCATTTGTCTTCGCGGACACTTTAGATACGTACTAAATTTCATTTCACGCTCACTGAAACCGCCAGAGCAAACAACCACCATAAAAAAGCAAATCTACTCTTTAAAGTGACGATCGCTTCTTCAATGTGAGCCTGCTCTACTGTTTTGCTCGCGCGAATTGGTCGTAATATTAGTTGTAATACTCTGCGAAAACGGTCGACGCGCGCCGATTTAAGAGATTTCGTGCCAGTGTGACGGCAAATCTATTATCATCTTTATGCATACGCGTACGTTCAGACTTTAATATTTAAATGTTGCACGTCTTCGTCAGTCTTGATTTGAACTGCTCTCGAAGCGCGGATCCTTTCGTTGTCGTTCTTATCCTATTCCCTTTTTCTTGGCGACCAAATCGGGCAGGCTACTTTATTTTCAATTGTCCCTGTTTGGTCATTTCAAAGATATCTCAAATTACTGTCCACCTGCAATCATTCCGCTTCCGAGGGCTCGCTCAGTTTTGCGGATAATCCTCGTGTAATAAAAAGTTGCAATTAAAAAAAAAAAAGTTGACGTCTCCTACATTCGATTCCGCTCGGATGTTCTTCGCAAAGAGAAAGTTGATACAGAATTTCGCAGATCAAGTGCTCTCGGCTCTGACGTTTCCGTCGTTTGAAAAAGGAAAAAAAGAAAGAGGCAATCTGTAAATCAGTAGACAGATCTAATTAATATGCCTTCGTGTACGTTGATTTATTTGCTATAATGCGTAACGATATCCGATTACGCGCAGTGTCGAAATATCATTTGGCGGATTATTACCTCATAGGTGAAATCTCGCTTGAAAAGATCTACGAGAAAATGAAATCACAATGTAATGGGATACCTACATTCGTTCGCCACGTCATTTCGACTGGCGAGTTTTATTTTAGTAAAAATCTTTCGCAATGCGCGCGCACGGTATCATCTTTTGACGGATTTTACGAATGACAAAATCGCATTCCCTCCCCTGTCGAAATATCTCATAAAATCGGTCCTTTCGAAAATGCCGAAGATGCTTCATTAATAACTAATAAACGCGGCGCACGCGGTCCAGTCGAAAGCAGTTCAGCGAGCCGCATGCGAGCCAGACAGCAACGTGGGCGCGCGTTCATCCGCCTCGTGTTTTATTTACGCAACAAACGCGCATAGTGGAAGAAGTGTCGCGCTCGTGGGAAGAAACAAGTCCGTAAACAATGCAACGATTCGGTTGGTCGGTTTTTCGCGCGCGCAACAATCGAACCCCAATTAACGAAGGAGGACGTTGCGTGCTCAAAGCATCAAATGCCGCATGGCAAAACTTGTCTCGCCGATGTCTATCGTCGTGCGAACTATATGTGACATCATCGCACGAAGATGCAGTCGCTCGCTTATCTTCTTGCGTAGCATATGCACTCAAGGACACTTTCGATTTTAGAAAGGAACATTTCTCGGGGATTCTTCGCCTTCTGCGAAATTGTCGCGTTACCGGCAATTTAACCGGCTTCCATCGATGCCCATGTATGCCGTTATTGTTCTCATCTTGCTAGCGTTGCAAATAGATTGCGGATCGTTGTACCGAAACAATGAACAATTAGAAAGTTTTCTTTGTAATTATCTTCGGCAAACACGCAACTCGGTCGTTAAAGTGCAGCAGCGTCAAAGAAACGCAAATGACCGACCAATCGGGAGGTTAATTTATCGGACTTTTCCAGTGCGACAAGTGTCGATAATGAAGGATGCATTTATTCATCCGAAACGTTTCCATCGCAACCACGTGAATCGCTTTCTTTTATCGACACAGTACTTTCCATTCAAGAAGCAGAAACGACGCGACGTGAATCGGCCGTCGTTCTTTAGCTTCTTTTTTTTTTTTTTTTTTTTTTATCGATTCCGTTGGAATGCTGCCAAAAAGTTTTAAAGAACACGCAGACTGCCAGACGACGATCGCCATTGCATGGCCATTTTTCCTTTCTATCCGAAAATAGCCACGACACACTTTTTTCCCTTTAAAAAACAAAAGAAAGAAAACAATCGATTCGCTATGTCGAGCTGTATCAAAAAACATTCTCAAAGGAACTAATTCGAAGAAACGTGACACTGCCGATTATATTCCGAGGCAGAGAGAGAGAGAAAATGAGCGCGACAAGCATTATACGGAGTGGCACAAAGGAATAAGAGCATTGTGCGAGAAATTCAAAGAAACGTTAATTGAATTTGAATCGTGGCATCGCGCGCACATGCAGGGATTCGAGCGGAGCGTAGCAAGGTACATTGGCTAATCTCTAGAGGGTTGCCACAGCTGCAAAAGCTGCTATGGAAATTGAAATCCAGGCGAGGTTTGGACGCGCGCTACGCGAGCGGAAGGGAGTCCTGCGCGAAACTCACCGAGGCGAGTCATTTGGTTATGGTCGCGCATGCAAGAACACAGTGCGTTTTGCCGTCATTCGCGTTTTATACGGCGTGAGAACGACCCGAAGACCCGTGGCGTACGGCGCGCGATGTTTTTTCGCGCGCAAACGAGCTCGTTAAAGTGTAATTGAAGATTCCAGGTCGCGCCCGTACGTTACATTGGCATTTGCAGGACAGCGAAGACCTACGCAGCCGCGAGAGCGCTTTCTTATCAGGCTGCGAATTCAAATCGAGCTGCTTGTAATTTCCTCTGTTGCGTGTCGAGAACGCGCGAATCTACCACACGCCCAATTCGTTGAGTTTCGTAAGTGGGGTTGCATCAAAATTAACGGAGCCTACTTGAGCAAAAGTTGCTTCTTTATTGCCATTGTCATCCGTGCCTTTGTCCCGACGAGTAAGTAATAAAATCCGCAAAGCCGATGCGGGAAATCGAATGGAGAATGATCGAGCCGTGCTGATTAGGGGCTGTGCCTGCACAACGCGCTCGCACCTCGACGCCACACTGCGAGCATCGGAAACCAATGATATCTCATTTGCCATGCACGAGCGATGCAAATCTTTTCTACAATGTCGTTGTGTCTTTTTCATCCACGAGGTTATTGCATTGTGGCTAATTATCTTTCGGAGCACACAGACGTTAAGAAGAAATATCTTCGACGAATCGATTCCATGAATACGATTGCACCTCGAGCGATCAATTACCTAATTACCCGGGAGACATCAATCCATTGCGCCGTTTACAAGTTTAACGAATCTTGGTGTAAATGCAAATGGCTTAATAACGTTCGACTAATCAGATCTTTTTTATCTGGGACCGCGAGATAATACCATTACGTATATTGATTCATCGCGGGACAAAGTTTCTGGGAAATTAATTAGCCTCGCGTTTTTATACTTTCGTCTCTCTGTCAGTTTGCACAAATTGTGCACGCGCGGCAGCAGCAAAATCTCGCAAAGTCGCGACGCGCAACCGAATTTCCGACGCGCCAGCAGCGAGACGAGGTTTTCATTTGTTTATTAGGCGTCGTAAAACAAAAGGAAAAAAGAAGAAAAAAAAACGACACACAACAGAGTTGGTTCCGCGCAGCGCCATCAGTAGTGCTAGTCAGCCATTGTAATCAAAAGAGTAATTAATGCAAAAACATTGTTACAACCTCGCTCTTTTGTGGCGGCTTCGACTTGCTGCCGCCGCCGCCGCTGCTACTACGCGCGCGCTCATCGTCAACATTGTAATGAAATCGCGCAAAAATAAAAGGAGGAAGGATAAGTTTGTTTATTCGAGCGTTTAGTAGAAGCAGAACAATAAGCGCTCGCGCCTATCATCAATTGCTCTTGCGAAATAATAAACGATTCGAAGGAGAAAGTTTTGCCTATTGTACCGGCAGCGTAGTCTTTTGAAATAATAAAAAAACAATATATAATATCGCGAACTGAAAAAAAGGAAAAGAGTCAGTTCACGTTCTTCGCTGCCACGCGACGGCTGTGGTGCCAGCAGCTGTCGCCCGTATACTGCAGTCAGTCTACGGGCTCTAGCTTTTTCAGTGAAATCGGATCGAAGTTTTCGCCAAATAAAAATAAAAAAAAAAACTCGCGTACGCATTTCTGGTCGCTCACCTGCTCCGTTCGATATTTCTCGGGCGCTGCAAATGAAATTTTGGTGACACGGTTCCTTCGCAGTCTCGGTGTGGAACGCTACAAGCTCGGCTATATACGTATATATGTGTGTATATATATATTGGTTGAAAAAAGGCGATATCGTTCTTCACCGGGAACTGACGTTTTTGACTGGAAATAAATAGAATTTAGCGGACACGCCTCGTGCAACGCTGGATATCTGCGCCGGGGAGATTTTTAAAAACAAGCCCACTTCCGAATGGTTTCGCTAACTGTAAAGCGTTTACGTTTCCGCTGGAACGTAATCGTGCCGCGGCAATAAAGCAGGCGCTCGGTCGAACGCAATCGCAAGGTAGAAGCGCTAATCTAGTTGAATCGGACTGACGCAGGTGCTGATAACGGTACGCTGTTGAAGCTCGGCTGGTTGGCTCGGCTCGCGGCATGCCAAGATGTTCCGCTCCAAGATCCGCATCCACACGTGCCAGGTGATTCTACTCACCTCGCTAGTATGGTTCCTCGTGGACGTGATGGTGCTGATGTTCTACTCGGACTGCATCAACGGCTCCGGGTGGAACTGCCAGCCTACTGACAAACCGAGCGTCGGTCAGCAACAGCAGCAGCAGCAGCAGCAGCAGCAGCAGCAGGAGGAACCATTGGCGAGCTTCGATCGACACAGCGAAGTGGCGCACCAGGGAGCTCTCGTCAAGGATGACAGCAACGACGTCGACGCCGGCGCGAAGACTTACGCGCCGACTCAATTGAAATTATGGAGACCCGCGAGAATGGTGAAGGAGAACAAGGGCAGTCCCGGCGAGATGGGCAAAGCCGTGCACATCCCAACCGAGCAGGAGGCGATGCAGCAAGAGCTGTTCAAGCTCAATCAGTTCAACCTGATGGCCAGCGACATGATATCGCTGAATCGCTCGCTCAAGGACGTGCGGCTCAGTGGCTGCAAAAGCAAGAAGCACCCGAAGATGCTGCCCGATACCAGCATCGTCATCGTTTTCCACAACGAGGCTTGGAGCACGCTCCTGAGGACCGTGTGGTCCGTCATCAACCGGTCGCCGAGGGCGCTGCTCAAGGAGATCATCCTCGTGGACGACGCCAGCGAGCGAGGTAGGCTCTCCTCCGGCCGTACCTCGAGAGATCGATCGAGTTGGCGAAACGGTTATGGCTTTTTTTCTCGCGAGAAACTCGACTCGCACGCGAAACCGTGAACATTCAATGGGAGTTTACGGGCTCGTTTGGAGCGCGCAATAAAGAACACTGAGCGCCGCTCTTCCTGCCGTACCGTTGTAACGAGCCGCGCAATTAACGTGTACTTTGCAGAGCACTTGAAGCAAGAGCTGGAGGACTACGTGGAAACGCTGCCGGTGCCGACGTACGTGTATCGGACGGAGAAGCGCTCGGGACTGATAAGGGCGCGTCTGCTGGGGGCCAAGCACGTCAAGGGCCAAGTAATCACTTTCTTGGACGCCCATTGTGAGTGCACCGAGGGCTGGCTGGAACCATTGTTGGCCCGAATAGCCAACGACAGGAAGACCGTCGTTTGTCCCATTATCGACGTCATCAGCGACGACACCTTCGAATACATCACGGCCAGCGACATGACCTGGGGCGGCTTCAACTGGAAACTCAACTTTAGATGGTAATTTTGCGGACGGTGGTAACTCTGAGCGTTGGTCTTAGCCGACGGATGATCAAGTGCGCTTTCTAATCTTCAGGTACAGGGTAGCCCAAAGAGAAATGGACAGGCGAGGAGGCGACCGAACGGCGCCCCTCCGAACACCGACGATGGCGGGTGGTTTATTCTCCATCGACAAAGAATATTTCTACGAACTGGGAGCTTACGACGAGGGTATGGACATCTGGGGCGGAGAGAATCTCGAGATGAGCTTCAGGGTAAGCGATCGTTAGTCGACCTTCCCGACGTACCAATACGGCATTCATTTGTCATTGCGGTTAACTCGAGTGTTTTCAGCCATCGCCAGTTCTTGTTCGCCAAACCATTCAGTCATAACAACGATTCCTACGTGCACGTTATAAATTTGATTGAGTTGCTTCGTAGGTGTGGCAGTGCGGCGGTATCCTTGAAATCAGTCCATGTTCGCACGTGGGTCACGTGTTCCGTGACAAGAGTCCGTACACGTTCCCGGGCGGTGTCAGCAAGATCGTCCTGCACAATGCTGCCAGAGTCGCCGAGGTCTGGATGGATGAGTGGAGAGACTTTTACTATGCCATGAATCCAGGTTAGA